ACAATATCTTGTCAAAGCACTTCGGAATAACACGGTAACCCTCATCCTCTCTTTCATATCCCAATCTTCATCTTTTCACATAGACACTCACTGCACTTCATCTCATATGGTTTCATATTGGAGACAACGGAGCACAACTTTTGGCTGATGAATTACTAAATAACACAGTAATACTCATTATCTCTTCATGTCTCCCATATCACCATTTACAATTTCTGATACAGACACTCACCACACTCGATTTAACAGGAAATGACATCGAAACTCTCGGAGCAGAAAAATTGGCTAATGCATTACGAAATAACAGGGTAATATGCACTGTGTCTTCATCTCTCTCATATTCTTATCTGTAATTTCTCACACAGACACTCACCACACTAAGCCTCATACGGAATGAAATCGATGACCAAGGAGCACAATATCTGGTTGATGCATTAGAAGTGAATACGGTAACCATCTTTCTTTTTTCGATCTATTTTAATATACATATCTTCACTTTTTCTTATAGACACTCACCACACTAGAGCTGGCTTCGAATTCAATTGGATGGAAGCTTGAAGATCGTATACGTGAACGGATTAAGCGTAATCAACAGCGGAACAGGTCGTGAATGTTGGTTTGAAATACAGTTTGGGACTATATTGAAATCGTGTAATGATCATGTGACTCACTTAATTATTTGCATGCTTTTATTTGCAAAGAAAAATGCACCATTTTTAATCGCTTAATAATATATGAAGTAATGAATATGTAATGCCAAAATATGTCTTATTGATTGAGAGAAGAAATTTAGTTGCTCTTCATTGAAACGTCGCTGACTATTTGAACCAAATGAAGAGGCATAGCGTTGACTTTGATTGACGGTAATGCTTTCGTGTTAGCAAGAGTGTGTTGATAGTGCATGTAGTCATACAAGAAAATAGTGGTATTTAAACTGCTGGATGTTGTTGATAGTATTTGACTTTGTGGATGGTTACTATACGAAGTTGAATGGGAGGATTGAGTGATGAATATTGGATTTAGGTTTTGATTGATGCTTTTGTCAATGTAGAATACTAAACAAGTCTGATGTGTTTGGTTTTTTCTGAAAATTGTTCATGATACGTGAGAAATTTAATGGAAATGGATTCACAATTTAAAGAACTTTTGCATGCGTGAACACATTGAATATTTAGATTGCGTGAAAAATAAAATTGTCGATATGGATTGAGACTTACTGTTAGTAGATGTAATAATTGTGCATATATCAAGTTGAACATTGTTAAACTTTTCATTAATAAAAACCATCAATGGGGATGGATTGATTTTTGGAACGAATGGTTGCTGACGTCAATGAAGCATCCATATCTTTGTAGTCGATCTGATCGAAACTGCTCTGCTCTGATAGGCAAGTTTTAAACACTAAAGAATGATTTACATCTATATATTTACGCAATTCATCTGCTCCTTTTATCGGTAAGTGCAGTGTATACCTTTCCCGTAGGGATGTGAGTGTTGATAAAAACAAGTTCAACACCTGCATTCACACCTTTACTCATTAAATGATGGAATTATTGATGAAAAAATTTTGTGCTGATTGATACAACCAATATGATCAGATTCGTTTCATATGTTCTAAGGCGAACGAATCTAATTAGAAATTGATCAAACGAACAAGTTTACTGTGGAAAATATTAATAGTATCAATACATTCCATTGTATTAAATATTTTGATTAAAAATGTGACATCACGATTGTTGGTTTTATCTTGATCAAAAAGTAACTTCATCAATCTCAAAATACCATTCAGTATTGGGTAATCTCGAATTGATCATGAAACATCGTCTCCCAGAAAAAAAAATGATAAACGTTGACGATTATTATCATTTAAATTATTTTGAAGTTTCAATATATCCCACATGAATGATGATTACACATAGATGAATAATGTTGTCTAGAAACAGTAATCATATGAACTGCGTTTATTATTCTATGATTATGATTACTTGTATTTGTAATATAGTTGTTTGGCAGAAGGATTTCAGTTAGATAGATTATAATATTCGAATGTGAACGTTATTTAATTAGCGTCAAACAAAATAAAAGTCCATAAGGAAGAATTAAATTGTATATTTTTTTAAGATCAGCACTGAAAAGATCCTTATTCTTATACATCAGTCTTCTCATTTATTATCACTTGGAATACTTGCAAAATGTCATTTGCACTTGAAATAATTAAATTTCATATGACAATGAAAATGAAAGAGTTTTCGTGAAATCTATTATGTAGAAGAAAAAAAAAAGAAGTAATGAAAAGCAAGAAAAGATCATAAATGTAGATGCATTAAATTTTCTTTAAAATAAAAATACAAAAACTATTTTTTATAATTTACTGTACTATGAAATTTCAAATTAACCAAAGACGAATAACCAGTATGATTGCTTTAGCTTTCTGCATTTTTACTTTTTTCATGAATTACTTGTACAAATATTGAACTGAGCTATTTTTGATGAATTTGAGGAAGACTTTGGACATCATAATATACTGATTGATTAAGAGTAAAGAAAAATTCACAAAATACTCTATCGTTCTCTATAATTTTCAATGGATACCATAAAAAGGTAGTTATCGTTGATTCGAATTCTATATTCTCAGACAGATTTCATATTCGTATTTTACGTTACAAAAATTAATACTCAATCATAAAAAGGAAACAATAAAGTGAAGAATAGGAATAGTATTCTCACACAGTTAATGCGAAGACTCAAAAAAAAAAAAAAAAAAAAAGTAAAAAACCGAAAGTATGTGACTTATGAGACTACGAATAAAATCAAAACACCCTAACATATAAGGAGAAAAATCGAAAACTATTGTAATTTTACTCCAAGGTAATTTATTACAGCATACTGTAAAAAGAAGTTTTTGATGTGAATAGAAATAAACGTATAATTCTTAAAACGATTCGCATATATTGCATAATATGTATACATCCATATGGATTAATAACAGGTTTGAATGTTATGTAGACTTTGTTCTTCCATATAATTACATACATTGAAATAAGTTTCAATAAATACGTATGTTTGTATGCATTCTAATTATGGCATCGTTTTAATATTCCACTATTTTATTTATATTCTCTTAAATATTACTCATATCTAATTCAAAATATAAATAACAAGATTGACTTGTGTTAAATTATTATAGAATTTATTATTATAGTCGTTTTTATTGATGAGAAAAGTGATGTAAATCAAATACTATTTTCGATTGTTTCAAAGTACGAGAAGCACAATTAATATAACGCATGAAGACCAGAAGTCTTCTTCAAAACTCTACGACATTTTTCGACCAAAATATGTCAATTCTGTGAAACGCACAAAAATTGTTTTTTCTATTCTTGCATATATGAAAAAAACCATTTTAATGCTTTCTGAAAGGTTGATAAATCTCAGACAAAAAATGTCGTAGAGTGCTGAAAGATGTTTCATTATGTATCTACTTGCTCATTCTATGATTGTAGATAATTTAAATAGGATTGTAGATATTGAAAAACGTCACTTTTAGTTTTTCAGAAGTCTCATTCTTAGAAAACTAGCAATCATTTTCATTACTATTTAGATTTTTGTTAGTATTTACAGCAGTTGAAAAATACTGAAGATAAATCCGGCTGAATAATTTTCGAAAACATTCTATATAATTATTGACGTTTAATGAAAAAGTGAATCTGTTATATTTTAAATGAAACAACTGAGTGTTCAGGTAAATAAGTTCAAAATTAGAATGCATTTTCAGAATAAAACTCACATTTCTGCTTTCTCAAATTATTCGAGCTAACATTCCAATCTTCTCTAACGATGGTCTTTGTCAACATCAAATTTAAATTTACATATGACTTTCATTATATTCTTGTTAGCTTAGATTGGTTAATACTTCTGTAATATTGAAGAAATGAGGAATAGGAATTCTTTTCTACATTGTCGAGGAACTTTTGGTAAAATCATGAAAATTCTTTAAGAAGTCGATAATTGACTGTCAGTCTCTTATATTAGTCAGAATGATACGTTTTTTTTTGACAAAAAAACTTTTCACAGCTACATATTTTACTATTGATATTAATTAGAGAACAAGATATATGATGTATACTATGTTTATTTGACAATTGTAGAACGGTGATAGAATCAACAACAAATGCTTATTTATCAGTTCCTGAATACTCTTCAAAATATGAACTTTTCATTTTTATGTAACTGCTGAAAATCCAGCTGTATTGTCTTAAATTCAATAAAATGACTTGTTTGTACATAGATAATGCATGGATGAAAAGCTTACCCAAATAGGGTAGTTTCATTCTTTATAGAGAAAGAAAAATGAGGGTGTGGGTGTTGATGTGGGTGTGGGTGTAGGTGTGGGTGTGGGTGGGTGTGGGTGTGGGTTTGATGTGGAGTGTGAAAAAGAACCATCGCTATCATTATACACCCACCCACACTCACACTCACACCCACACCCACACCCACACCCACACCCACACCCACACCCACACCCACTCACTCCCACATCCTTCTTGAAAGATCTTACACATCAATAAGATCTTTCAAGAATCTGATTGTGTGACTTGACATAAGATCTCAGGAACTACAATTTTTTGTATTATTTTCGTATGATCGTACAAGATCATATAAGATCAGATCCAAGATCTTGTCAGATCTTACAATATGATTGTTTGTCCTGGGTTACATAAAATATCTAGAGATATTTTCGTATCATCGGATTCCGTCGGATCCTACAAGTTCCGATTGCCGGATATCATCGGATCCTATTGTCGGATGTCGTCGGATCCTATTGTCGGAATCCAACATCGGAAATCGTGGGAAACTGTCGGACAGTTTCGGATCCGATAGGATCCGACAGGGTGATTTCGACCTGGGAGAGAAAGTCTTTTATTGACTTTATGTTGGTGTCATTTTGTGTGTGTTGGGTACTAGTGTAACCGATTTGACCGATCATGTCACAAAATGAAATGCCAATTGTACAACCGTTTGAATTGCCATGTGGACTCAAATTATCTAATAGAATTGTCAAAGCATCAATGGTCGAAATGCTCGGCAGTGGTGATAATCAACCTAATGAATATATCTATCGTCTTTACGAACGTTGAGCAAAAGGATCATTTGGTCTTATATTAACTGGTAATGTTCAAATTGATGAACGTTATCCAGGTCTCATGGCAGACATGATGATTCCAAGTAAAGATAAAATTGACATTGAAAAATGGAAAAGATATGCAAATGTTTGTCAAAGTCATGGTACACCAGCTATTGTTCAAATTAATCATGCAGGACGTCAATCGCCTTCGGGCAAAAGACCTTTTAGAGAACCTCCTATTGCTCCTAGTCCGATTCCATTATCTATTGGTAATAATATCTTTGCTCGAACTTTACGACGTCTAGTTATCAGTACACCTCATGAAATGACTCGAGCTCAAATCGATGAAGCCGTCACGAAATCTGTTGAAGCGGCGGAAATCATGGTTAAATCAGATTTTGCTGGTGTAGAACTTCATGGTAGTCATGGTTATTTGATTAGTAGTTTCCTATCACCAAAAACAAAGAAACGAAACGATGAATATGGAGCAACATCAAAGGATCGAATGACGTTTTTATTTCGAATCATTGATGCTATTAGAGCAATCGTTCCTCAAACATTTGCTGCTGGTGTTAAACTCAATTCAGCTGATTTTAGTACTGGTGCATTAACAGAAGAAGAAGCACACGATCAAATTCGATGGATTGACGAACATGGTGATATTGATTTTATTGAAATTTCGGGCGGTACTTATGAAGGTTTTGCTATGACTGGATCCGAACGAACTAAAAGACGAGAAGCTTACTTTATCGAATTTGCTGCTAAAGTTCGTAAAACTACAAAGATTCCTTTAATAGTTACTGGTGGATTTCGTACTCGTGAAGGTATGAATGATGCGATTCGTTCTGATGCATGTGACATAGTTGCTATCGCTCGACCTGTTTGTATTGAATTTAATTTACCACAAATTTTACTCGATCAAAATATTGCTGATGAAGATGCACGAGCATTACAATATGATATTCGAGGAAGTCAGTGTTTCAGTTATATACCTATAACGAGTACTCGTTCAAGCATCGGAACTTTATGGCATAACTGGCAGATGCATCGAGTTGCTATCGAAAATCAAGAACCGGATCCGACTCTTAACGTTCACGGCAAAATATTTAGTATACTTCTTACAAAGTTTAAAAAAGTCATTCCATTGATTATTTTATTCTTTTCTATTTTATATGGTTCTTGTCTTAGAGAACTATTTTTGAGGACATATAAAAAAATAAGTATTTGAATAAAAAAATAACAGATTATTTTTATTTTTGTAGTCAAGAAATTTGATACTTTATAAAAAACAAATATTATACAGAGTTACCATATAGAAAAAAATGGTATGATGGAAAAAGGCAGAAAGGAAAAATATCGAAAGTAAAAAATGTCGAAAATGAAAATATCGAAAGCGATGGATGTAAGTGACGGTGCAGATGTAAGAGTGAGGGTGAGAGCGGGAAAGATTCTCTTTCGACCTACTTTCATTTTAATTGCTTTCAGCTTTCGACATTTGTATAATTTCTATTTTCGGCATTTTGATTTTCTACATTTTTTATGTTCGATATTTTTCCTTTCTGCCTTTTTCCATCCATTCAAAAAAATCAACTTCCTGATATTTAAATTGCGGATGAAGTTAATACACGTTACTTCACTAAATTCTCACTAAATCTAATTAGGTTTACTTCATTATACACTCTCAAAACATTTTTTAAGATTTTTTAAACTGCAACGGTGTTAACCACTTAAATTTATGTTGAACTTGAAGCGACTTCCAGCGTTTCTCAAATATCACTTTAGCATTTTCTAACGATATTGTTAAGCCTCTTACGTGTGTTCTTTCGTAAGTTCTAAGAGAAACCTTAACTAATAGTTCCATATAGGTTTTATCTGATATCTATTTTTTTATTCAATAATGAAAACAAAATGATGGTATCTGAAGAAAATATTGCTTGTCCATATTTTGAAGATGATGTCTATACAGCAAGATGTTGTTGACTATTACATAAAGAAAAGACATCGAATTTCTCTTTTAAATTATTACTTTAAATAAATAAATATTGTCGTTTGTAATCTCGTTTGCTTTATAATTAACTTACTATTGTGTGTAGAAAATTAAATCAAATTAACATAAAATAGTTTACGTATCCGCCATTATAAACCTGTACTAAAAAACGACTGCATCATGATATTTGATTTTTCTTTTTTGGAATAAGTACCACTAATAAGTATTTCATTGTGTTGACATTTTCATATACATACTGCATTATCGTATTTTCTTTTAAAGAATAATTTCAATTCTCAATCCAGAAAATTATATAAATTATGTGATGTTTCAAAATTTACAATTGATTTTTTTCAGTGTCATCAACGAATTTTAATCGTTTAAAATAACGTTACTTATCAGGAAAATACTGTAAATTACATCACATACATAATCATTAGCTTTTGGTTCACGAATTTAATATCAAACTCTTTTTTTTCCATATAACAGCTCTGGAAGTAGTATTCCATTTCATGACTCAAATCCGAAAGCATCAGTTTCAACTATAGATCCAAATTATATGCAAGGTATCGAAGATGTTTGAATACTGATCTACATTATAATGATGAGATAATGAAACAAACCATTTTTAGATATGAAGATCAATTACCAGTGAACGTTCATAGAAACGAGCAAAATCCAATACATATGGTCGAAGTCAAACATACGTTATATCAGTATTATGTGTTAATATTACTTAATAAAGTTATTCCTTTAATTAATAGAAAATGAAAAACCTTTCACAATGACAAACCTAAACGAGAATAGTTTATTGTGTAAGTTTTAGACCTTTGAATATGTCTCTATCCTGAAATAAGAACATCAAATCTGCCGGTTCATATGAGAAATGTATAAGACACGCTATTATCAGAGTTGTATCTTATAATACAAATAATGACAAAATCTGAAACGATCACTAACACCCATTTTCGTAAAGGTTTTTCCGTATGTCACGTTTCAAGTCAGAATTCGAAAATCAATTATTCTGGTGTTCCTGAGAGGGATCACTGCATTCACTAAAAAAATTCAAAAAAAAGAGTACCTTATATCTGCAGCAATATATTAAGGGTATGCACTCTTTCCACATTATTCAAAGGTTATTTGGATATACTTAATGCATATGATCTTGACTCAGAAGCTGCTCATTAACTTGACTAGATGTCTTTCTTTGTCATAGTGCTATTTGTGGTCATTTTGTATATTGCTTATTTTTTTAATTTTTTTCTTCATGGTTTACAATAATGAAGAACGTACTAATTGCACAAATATTATTAGTTTTGATCAATGATCAGATCATATTGTGTTGAATGAAGAAATGGAACATACAATAGAACGTTATCATTTCGAAAAAATAATAATAATACAGTTATTAAAGCTTTATTTTATTATACAATGAAGAATTAAATATTTTGTTTTTATTTTTATTTTAATAAGATGATTTTATTGGATTATGCATTGCAATAGGATTATTAAAATTTCGAAATATGATGACATAGAAATTATTAAAAAAATACTCTTCAATATTAAAAAGTTTATGATAGTAGGTTTCATCATTTATCTATATAGAAAATTGCAAAAATAATGCATTCGATTGTTAAAGCTCTTTATCCTCTTACATTTGAACATTGTTTTGTGTGCTCTACTTGCTGCCCATTTTGTAAAGAAAACATATGCACAAAATGTTTACAATTTAATAAAAAATATTATGCTTGCACTTTTTTTGGCAACAAATATGTATAGCTACTTCACTTGCTCTATTATTATCACGAAAAAACTTCATTAGAAAACTTCGTGATTCTGATAAAATAAAATTAGATATTTTATGCAAGATTTACCTCTTAATTATACTATTTATTGATTTGTAAATTCAGGCAATATACTATGTGGAAATTATGTTAAAAAATTTGTGAAGAAGTTCACAAAAACAAATTTGATTTAATCTTAACAGTACAAGTGCACACTGATGGCATGTTTTTATATCTTGATTTTAATAACATATGTTGTTTTTACATGGATGTACAAAAATTTTAAAATAGTACGTCAAGTTTCTATCGTATTTATTTGATACTCAAGAAAGTTGCTTTAATTTATTGATTCCAATCACAAAATACGATATATATCGGCATATGATGCTTAATGCAGCTCTTAATCGTCAATAGCTACAACATGTTTATTAAAAAAATGTGCTGTATTTTAGTTGAACTTGAATATGGATTTTCTACTATCAGTAATGATCATGAAAAACACATCAATATTGAGTAATTATATAAATATTTTTTTTAAAGTTATGAAATTGTTCATAGTTTGTTTGTTATTGCTATTGCGTATGGTAAACCTATGAAGAACAAAAATGCGTAACATGATTTAACACAATAGTTTTTATTCTTGTACTTATTACTTATGTCCTGGTGAAAAGTTTGTTACCGCTAATGGCGGCAATATTGTAGTATTCTCATCTTATAAGGAAAATTTCAACTACATTTTTGTAGAAATAGATACATAATATGTTTTAAATATTTACAGCGTCTAAACATGTCTCAGATCATTATGGCCTAATAGCTCTAGAACACCTTCGATTTCATAATGTCCAATAGACTGTAGTAGCAAACATCTCTTGAAATGAGAGCTGATTATGGAGATTTATTTTGATGAATTAATTTGTTTACAACATCAATCGAGAATTGAATGCTGTTGTATCAAAATGTATGAATTAAGAAGTTCACTACTACCCTTCTTGCAATTCGACACGTTTATCTTTCGGCCACTCGAGTGTATACTCTAATGGGCATTGAAATTCTTCATGCGGTTGTAATACACATTTCCATTCCAAATTATTCCTATCGTTCATTGTTACCATGCAATTTTGTGCGTAATCCTTTTGTCGTAGATCAGGTGTGATCAACTTCACTTTGATCTTTTCATCCGAAGATAGAGGTACTTGTTCGTAGACGAACACTGTGATCTCGGTTGATTTCATGTTCACAATCTTTGTCTCATGATGACACGTCTCATGATGTATTTTCGAGATGAGACCTTGTGTGTCAACCATTTTCTTCACCGGTTTGTATTCCACTTTGACACTGGCATCTGTGCCCAAAGGAAGGTCAAATGTATCACAAACATAAACATTATCGATCGAGCTGTGTGTGACAAAATTATTATCCATAAACACAGATACAGGTCCAGCAAGAAGTTGTTTATCGGAAGTGTTCACTGTTGACGCTTTCAGGTATGCATGAGGTGATATTTTCGGCACAACCGTGTGCGTAAATGTTGAAGGAAGATCTAGAACACCAATCGTGACCTTGTGTGGTTTCCCCTAGTAACGATAAAAAAATACAAAAATATTCTACATCACTGGATGAAATACTTACATTGGAATCGATCGTTGATCGACGAGGTATAACAAAGCTGATACTGGACATGCTAGCTGCGGTTTTAGAGGCGAGAATATTGACTTTCGTTTCATCGAATTCTGCATCTTTATCTTCAATAGTCGGATCATGCGCGAGCAGTGATTTAGCACGAAATGACCTGAACACATCTTTCCAGCGGTCTGTAGGCGTACTCTCATGCATAACTGCAAATTTTGAAGTCGTGCTAGCGATCGAATCAATTAATTCTGTTTTCGGAATCTGCTTAGAATCAATGACCAGTGGTTTGTAATAATCAATGTTCAGTGTGTTCAATTTTGGTGGAGTTCCACCCAAAGATGGTTTTGCAGTTGACAACGAGAAATTTGCATCTAGCCAATTCTCTTGACTTTTATTCACCTAAACATTAGCAAGATCCATGACACACTTTTGAAATTCAATAGAAATTGGAATACTTACAATAATTCCATAATACGTTAACTGTGTTTGCTGTTGATTTGCTTCAGCACTACTGACACGAAAGTCGTAACTGGCACTCCAAAAACAGTTGCTGATCAAATAGGAAACTTCGAGTGCCACATCAAGTTCACCACTGGCGATATGAACTGTGATCGTCACTTCTGGATATATCTTTCTTCGACTCGCTTGGGCTGCAGCACCATAGTGATCAATTTGAGTTTTCAAAGCTTCTTGACGAGATTTCAATTTCTTCATTTCCTCTTCTTCGCGAACTGTATTATCATCGAGTTTCAATAGTGTATTGTGATAGAACTCCAGAAATTGCCGTATATTTTCCATATCATTGGTTGTGCAAGGTCCATCTTGGTTCATTAATTTGATCGAACGTCCATCAAGCCATTCGCGTTGTTTTGTGAGCCGTGTTAATTCGCGCTGATGCATCTCTAGGTCAGTTTCCACGTTTCCAAGTTGACTTTGAAGATTATCAAGAGACGTCAAATCCGATAACGGAGCGATATCTTCATGTCGTATTTGATGCGAGACTTCGAGAATAGTGCATGCTTTGCTCGTTCCACCACTGACATGCATCGATGTTTCATTCACAAATATTGAAAAACCATCGAGCACAAGGTCATATATTCCTTCAACATCGAAATGATGTCGTAGAATTCGTGTCACTTCTGCACGATCATTGTAGACAGTAACATACTGAATAGGACATTGTTGATTGACATTAAAGCGAACAACAGGAGGTTTTACGGCTGTCATTGGTACGACCAACGTGTTTGTTATTGTTGTTGTTTCACTCGTGATCAGTTAGAAGAATGAATGCATCGTGCTTTTTTGCGTTGTATATGTAGTTATTACTCAGCAGTTTACAATTATTGTCCCATTTCAAATACTAACATGAAAGGAAAAAAAGAAAGTAGAAAAGAGAACAGTATAGGTGACATGACTCAGTCAGGCTGCAGGAGAATATCCGATAGATACTTGTGGTGTCGTATGCAAAATAATAGCCAGGATGAGAATGAAACAAAATGAGTCATTATGGAAAAATATCGGTGTCACTATCGATGTGTGAATGAGCAACACAGCTTTTATACTGTTAGAGGAAAAATATCAATGAAAATAAATTTAATAATCAAACAAAAATAAGTGTTGTATTTTATAGAGCAATGTAGCTTATGTATAAAAATAATATTTTTTCAACACTTTCCTGTGTTGGAGCTGTTTCTGTATGCTATTTTTATATACCAATCAGTCTTAGTGGATAAATAATATATGATGCAAAAGTAATGGGACAAATATCTGAAGTTATTTCTCTTCGATAGTAGGGTACTGGAAAAAAGTTTTTTTTCAGCAGAAGATAGAAAATATTTTTTTCTCTTTCGAATCACATAAATTTTATTTTTATAACAAATTCATGGACGGAAGAACGCCAAAGAGAAGAGGAGGATATTTAAAAAAAAACACATTTTTTGTAAAGTTCAGAAAAACGGTGCAAAATGTTGTCTCCTATAACTCTTTGACAAATAAGTTTTGAAATGAATTTTCTCTGACTAGTAGTTGATAGGAAACTTTTTCCTCTTTCAGATAATGTTTGATTTATATTCAATGCACATTCCCAGATGAAAAAAGAGAAAAAAAAAAGAAACATTCATGCAAGAAACCTATACTTTTTATATGAACCCACCAAAAACATCTTGTTAAATGCCAATTAATTTCATCTTTACAGACTCATTGAAAAGAATTTGTCAACGGGTATTTATTTCGAATTGTATGAGGTCGTTGTGATTAACTATTATCTACAAGATATTTTTAACGAATTCACATAAAAATTGTGAATTTATTGTGCACATATTTCTATTTTTTTCTCATCTCGTTTCACTCACTAATATGTGACAAATATGAATCCTACACTTCTCAAAAGAGAAGAAAATATTCCTATTAACTGATAAAAAAATATTCTTTTCAGAACCCATTTATCGAAGAGATATGAGGATCGACATTTTGTACAGTCTTCTCATAGAAAAGTGTGGATTCTATTTAAGGATTCTTCTCTATTCTGTTATGAGCCTGTTATAAAAACAAGTTATATGCGCTTTAAAAGAGAGAAAAATTCTCGATCTTCTAATACGAAAACTTGTCTTTCAACACTTTTCTATCAAAGAGAAATAGGCACTGACATTTGTTTGGTTACTTTTGCATTTATATGTTACTTCAAAAATGTTGCTCTACACTATGTTAGTAAAACTAAATTTTCTTCCGAATGGAGAAAGATCTCGTTTGATTTTTTGGGATATCGTTCCATTCTATGAACCGGAAAAAGCACAACATTTTGTTGTCAAACAGTTCAGTTTTCATTCATTTTTTTGTCTTAGCAAGTTGTATGAAACAAACCTTGTTACTTCTCAAATTATTTCCTCCTATTTACTCTTTGATTTCCAACCACCTTTGTTCAAATGGAGTTTCTTCAAGCGAAACGCCATTGACATTATTGTCACACGACACAAAAATGAGATTTTGTCGACCTCTATGATAGATAATTTCTTGTTCGTAAAACTTCGCCTAAAGCTGAAACCAAAGACATATTCTGAAAACGTAATTTCAAAAAAAACGTAATGAAATAACAAAGAAAAAGATGTCGGTTGACCTGTGGTAGATAACTTTAGAAGCTATGTACTGGATCTGTTGTCATGATTTCTCAAAATCTCAAGTAGATAGAAGTTTGATTTTTCGGGAATCGAATGATCCTTTTTAGACCAGGAAGGCAGATGAAGGGTGTAGGCGTGGGTGTGGGTGTGGGTGTCTATGAAGGTAAGACACTCACACCCACACCCACACAACCGGAATTTGTGCAAATACTTTTGCATTTCATGTTATATATTTCATTTTATATATAATATCTTAAATACTATTTCATATCCCATATAATATTTTCGATATTACTCCATATTCCATATAATACTTTAAATCTTATTTCATATTTGATATAATAATTTAATTATTATTGCATATTCTATATAATGCTTTTAATATTATTGCATATTCTATATAATAATTTTAATATTACTGCATATTGTATATAATACTTTAAATATTAATGTATACTCTATATAATGCTTTTAATATTATTGCATATCTAATATAATAATTTTAACATTATTTTGATGCATTCCATTTAAGTAATGTTCATAAGAACTACTTTGAGCTTCCTAAAAAAATTTTTTCATTGATATAAAATCATTGATTCGGTATTTACTTGTTTATTACAAATGGAACAGTTTGTAAATTGTTGATGATTTTGATTAAGATGCTTCTAGAAATGACATAATTGTATAATAAAACAATAACTCATATTTTCTACCTGATAAAATATCCATCGTTCTCCCCATTTACATTTTGGACACATTGATAAGAACTCTTGCATCTCATTTTGAAAGCATGGATCGAACCGTGCCTTTAAGAATAGATATATGTATTTGTAAACAAAGTTTTAAAAATAATTGAATCATTTACTTTATCTTTTAAAATGAATTTCGAACATGTTGCACAACTAATAAGACAAAGAAACAGACTATTACGATTAAAAATTAAAAAGTACATTTACATATTATTATGATTTATACATGATTTACATTGTTGATGTCCACATTCAAGTTCATAAGGTTCTTGAAAAAAAAATTTGCAAAATGGGCAAATAAAACGTAATATGTCATTTTCCATCCAAGAATCCTCTTGAATGTTAAAAGCGATTTCGTTTGGTGCTGCCAGATGATGATCAGATTGATTTGTTCGTTTTTGAGAAACACGTTCCGTGGCTAACGTAGTAATGTTGTCAATTGTCGATCGATCAATTGATTGCGATGGATGTACAGCTATTCCAGCCTCATCATTTGTAATTTTTTTTCTAAATCACGTTTAAGGCAAAACTATAATTTTTGACTTTCTTCTGATCCAGATTGAATACGAAATTGACCAGATTGCAAGGCATTACTAGTATCATAGTATGCATAAATGCGTCGAACTTGTTCAATTTGGTGAACAAATTTTTCTAGTAATTCTTTCAGATACAGGTCAGACACATGAAAGTGAAAGGTATCTGTATCCTTGATATGATCACATACATATTTGCGTAAGGTGATCACGTTGAAAAACAACTTGGTAAAATGACCAAATTTATTCTCTGGAATAAACTTGTCAGAGAGTACGAGAATTTGGCATATACGATCTTCACTGTTTCCAGTAACCATGTATGATGATTTAATAAATAAATATGCTATATAAACCAAATATTAATAATTGAAACAATGAACAATAAAAAACTAATAAAATTGTATTGTTCTTAGCAAATATATAGAAATCTAAAATCTAAATTATATTTATTAGTTAACACATTTACAGATCTCCATACAACATAATATGTATTTTATTAATATAGAATTATTATAATTAGTTACATTAATAACTGGATAAAATTTAAAAAAAAATAATATTGTATAACATGTACAAAAAAAACTAACAGCTTGAAATTACGTTTGACTATATCATTTTCTTGCTTTACATAGTTTTTTAACGATATATAAAAGCATAATTAATTAACACCACAACAGCTAATATAATTCTTCTTTTTATATGGATGTACACAATCGTTGCCACAAGATGCGGAAATAAATATGAGACTAAAATATTTTTATTCGATCTGAATATATACATATGGTTGAACTTTTCTTGATTAAAGTACTAAATAAAAATTTTTAGTATAATAGTTTAATGATTATTATATACTGTGAATGTCAAAAAAATATTTCAAAATATCTCATATCAAAGAAAAAGGAACAGGCAAATCTGTTCAACGTCTTTGTACGGCATAGACTGCACAATTGATGAACCATAGAGTTTTCATACTAACATCAAAGCAGAGACATTTTTTTAAAGTCTTTTTTACTAATACTATAAGATGATCACTCACGTTTTTGTATATTCTAAAGCTTTTTCACTAATGCATATAGCTTAAACGCGCGATCATAGTTTCGTTGAGCTTCTAATTCATTATTGTCATCTTTCCTTTGTTGATCACCTATTTCTTCTGAAAAAAGCGCAAGATCGATGATTAATTTGATTAGAAGACGTGTATCGTGAGCAAAAATACCATCCATTTTGATATAAGATCTTGAAGATCTTTGCAGTGTTATTAATTCATTCATCTTACAAAGGATAAGAATTGAGCGAACATTTTTATACGCATGACTGTGCGACAGAATATTTTGGACATTAATATTTGTTTCAATGATCAGAGAAGCAACCTTTACTGAAGAATAAGTATTTAACCAATGCCACAATTGTTCTTCTGTCGAGAAGAGAATTAAAACTATATCTTCAGTTATCAAACATTCAATAAGAGCAGCTCTTAATGACGAGTGCTTCACCCCCAACCAGATTACTATTAGAGCGTTAGCACATACTAAAATAAACAGTAAAAAAAACTACAATTAGTTTTTTCTTGTTCTAGAAATATCACAAAAATCCTAGTTCTCCTACCATTGCCAGAAATCAAATGAAATTGTTTATATTGATCAGACAATTGATTCACTGAAATGTCATTATCATCGATAACTTCATCGTTTTTAGTACATGTTTCTCTTGGTAGAATAGCTGTTGATAGCTGAACAGTCGATAATTTGTCTACTAAAGTTGTCATGCGAACTTTTGAAGATTTTTTTCAATTGGAACAAAAAGGAAACAATTAATCATAAATAAAATCAAATGAAAAAAATCTGAAAATAGATACGCATGTATTCGTAGTTTACAAATGGCATTAAATAAAAACTAAGGACAATAGAATGAATAAAAAGAAGAACTTGAAATAAATGATAGTTTACATGTCAAAAATAGTATTGTTTGATGTAGAGAAGAAGAACGACAACATGACAACTGGGATAATTCCCAGTTGATGTCATTGAAAGTGAGTCAAGATCAAATTGAAGGTGAGAACGATTCTTTTTTTAATCCATTGGAGACGGAGTTACTTTCGGAAAACAAAATGAAAGAGCGAGAGAGTAAAAGATTGCTAATCGTACCTCCTAAATAGGTGAGAGGTCGATTGGTCACTTTTTACGTTCTTGTCTTTTTTTTGAAAAAATGCTGCAAGAAAGGGAGTGAATAAGGACGCGGCACAAATTGTAATCTTACCATACATCGGTGGTGATAGATCTAAAGCAAGAATATTATCTTAGCTCATAATATGCGAAAGTCAGTTACAAGTGAATTCAAAACTGGACGTATACCCAGGAGATTCAATCCGACCTGTAGATTCGATCGAAAACGATCGGATCCGCCTCGGATTTCATCGGAATCCGACATCTTTCATAAAAAAACCGATCGGATCCGACAAATATAGGACCGGATCCGACCGAAATTATTCCGAACTGGCGAGATCCGACTGGGGTCGTTTGACCTGGGTATATATGTTGTTGGTCTACAATGGATTAATTGTCTGAATTACAAATATAATGTACTAATAACATGATTACTTGAAAAAAAATTCGACTTATCACATTTTTTTAAGCTAGGATAACAATACATTACATCCATCGCAAAAGCTATCTGTGTGTTGTGTTCTGATGTTAGATAAAAAGAATAAATACCTCAATTAAATCATCATTTCTTCATAATCGACCTACCGTCATCGTATAGAACTAATAAGAATGAGTGATAGAGTATTCGAGCAAAACGGATGAAAACTAGAGAAAAATCTCGTAAGGTTGGAAAACTCCAACTGAAAAAAATAGAATAGAAGGAGGAAAAATCATGTGTTTCTTTTATTAGTTGAGTAAAGCTTCAGAATATTTATCATCGGTGCCATATCGTTGAACAGAAAGGAAGGAAAAAAAAGAGATTCTCGTTCTTTGTGTATTTTTTTTTACATCTTTTTCTGTCTAGTCCTCTTGCACACATACTGATTGCTTGGAAAATACCAACTATGTTATGTTTTTTACATCGGGATCTTTGTTGGAAGAAGATTAAAATGAGTTAGAGTAGAAAAATCTATATAAGAGAACAGTGAAGCGATATTTACTGTGAAAAATAATAAACACATCATTTAAAATATTCGGTATATAACATTTTCCTTATTTAGCTGGAGGTCAAAACGATACAGAAAAGCTCTATGAAAAACTCACATTGATAAGATGGGACCATAGAAAGGAAAAGTGATTATTTTCGATTATTACTCAAGCATTATCAACAAACAAGAGTGACAGAAACAGAGTATTGAACATTGCAATGCAACGCTGTTTTCAGTCTAAAATAATGGCATGTGATACATTAGAATTACAATAATATTGAGACTGCTAAAGTTTTTAATTGTTCTTTTTTTAGTTAAAAAACAATACTACAATCTTATATTGTGACTAATTTGTCATCCTAAATTAGATGTGATATGAAGAAAAGTTATCTTTATTTCTATAGCTCAGCTTAAGATGTATGTTTTGTTTCTCACTGATTATTATGAATATGATGATAAACTGAAGCTTCATTTAATCTTATCATTAAAGTAAAAATAAACATGATATCTTGTGTATTTTTAAATACAGTCGAATTCGATCGTTTTTGTTTTCTACCTCATGTTAGGATGATTATCACGATATACAGATATACTTTTTAAAGATTATTCAGATATCAAGTATTTCCAGTATGTGAATTTTTCACTTGTCTCTGTCAGTATGAATAAATCCATACACTATTATGTGTGATCTGACACTTTTACAGTGAAAATAAATACTGCGCCGTTTTTTTTTATTATTTTTAACAAGTTACAACCTAAAGATAATAAAAATTAAACACATAATTTATCTAATTCTTATTACTTCCAAACTGTTTTTCAGTAAATGAATCATATGTTTGACTTGAAATGAAATGTATACTATCAGACTAAAGAAAATTTTGCAATAAAGATATGAATTATAGGCCGAAACAGGAAATAATTTATACAGCACATTGAGGAATCTAACTTTAATACAATCGAGAATATTCGATCAACTTTGCCAGTACTGCTAAACATAGTATAAAATAGTGTAATTAACTATAAATTGTACTTTGAAATTAGTTCATTACATGGTATTTGTTGGTATAAAAAAAAAGCAAATCGATTATGTAGATATAACATCCACGGGTTTTGAGATGTCAGTTTTCGATTTCGTTTCTAGGAACAGAAACGTAGAATGCAGTTTATGTTTCTAGGAACGCAAGGATGTGAATGTGAGCGTTTTCTTTCCAACTGGCATCCACATCCGCACCGACACCCACACTCACCCACATGCACATGTGCACGCACACCCTCATCCGGTGATGGTAAGAAGAAGGAGCCACAGAAACCTCACTCTTAAACTCACACTCATTATTTTTTTCTTGTTCGATATGAGTGAGTTCTCTAAAACTGACGTTGTTAAAAATGAAAACTGTGCGAGCTGACGCAGTTTTTACGAAGAAGAAAATGGAAATATAGAATAACAATGCTTTCCCTACAATATTTTTTTCCAAAAGAAGTATAAACTTCTGTACAAGAAATGGCAATAGAGTCATTAGAAAAATTTGCTTAGAAATCAATCATGAGAAAGGATAGACAGGATCTGTGTTGGAAAATGCGATGCAAAATTAAAGATGAAAAGTGCATAAAAGCATCTGCGTGGTAAAATTTCTGCGAAACAGAAGTAAAAAAAAGGAAATCGAATGACGCCGAGATCGTTAAATGAGCTTTCCGAAGAATCAAAAATTAAAAAAAGAAAAACTGTTTGAATTCAATTATTTTGCCGGAAAGGAAAATTTAAATAGCGAGTGAAAATATTTATATTGACAACGTTTTCTCTGAAAACAATCCAAGCCATGTGAAAGAAATAATATTATTTTTGTCAGAAGGCGTTTCTCAGAAAGTAAAAATTAAAAATCACTAAAAGAGTGTGAGATTGAGGATGATGTTGGAAGATTAAAAGTAAAAAATGCACCAAGTGATCTCCACTGAAAGACGTGACAAATGAATAATGGGAATGGAGTAAAACGATCATTGTTAGACGACACTTTGTGGGTACTGAAAATGACAGAAAAGACCATAGAAGCGTACGAAGTAAATAGAACCGAAGAGAATATAAAATAACAATTCATGTCTCAGATCATTAGGTGATTAGAGGAAATTAACAGAAGGAATTTGTTGGAGTTCTTCTATGTAGTCATCCACAAATATGGATGTTCAACACTTGGACAACAACTGCAAAGTTTGAGATATATTTTCATATCTAAAGAAAAAGCAAGCGAGCTATACTCAATCATAGAAAGAAATAGAGGACTGATCTTAGCTAACGTTATATCTATTGTTGACACACGAAGAATGATTGTAGTAAATTAATGAAGAAAGTTAACAACAAAACACATGTTCTCACTGTTTTACTTGTGAATGATTATCTCCAACTTTTTTATTGAGTCAAAACTAAATCACAATCAGCGAACTAATTATCTCTGTCGATTTCTCTTGAGAAGGGTGTGGGTGGGTGTGGGCGTGGGTGTGGGGTGTGGTGGGTGTGGGTGGGTGTGGGTGGGTGTGGGGTGTGTGGGTGTGGGCGTGGGGTGTGGGTGTGGGTGTGGGTGGGTATCGGTATATTCTTTATCCACACCCCCACCCCCACCCACATCCATACCCACACTCACACCCACACCCATACCCACACCCACACCCACACCCACACCCACACCCACACCCACACCCACACTCACACCCACACCCACACTCATACCCACACCCACACTCATACCCCACACCCACACCCACACCATCTCTATTTCAAATGATGTTAACGTGTTATTTTATATTTTTATTTAAGTTAACACAACAACAGGATTTATGTATTGGTTCTGTTAATGCTAATCGTTATCATCACGAAACACAGTCAATGATCGGTAATTTTGTTAATACTTTACCTTATCGTTTTCAGCTCGAACCAACAGAAACATTTCAACAAATAGCTGAGAAAGTGAAACAACGATGTTTAGAAATAATGAACTACGCTCATGTACCATATCAGCAAATTATCAATTATTCTGAACGGAAAGAATCATTGTTACCATTTATACAAACAACACTTCAACTTCTACCAATAGCAAGAAAAACTAAATTGTATTTAAATAATAATAAAACAACATTTGAAAAATTAAGCGATATATATAATAATCAAAACAATATTGGTCTGTCACAATTTGATTTATCATTAGTCATAAAACATGACATAGTTACAAAAAAAAAGATACAGGTTGAATTTGAATATTCTATCGATTTATTTCAACGTGAAAGAATTATTGATATGTCACAACGATTTCATTTAATGCTTAAACAGTTATTTAGTACAACGTCGTCGTCATTTGATAAACAAAAACAACCTGTTTATGAATTATCGATTCTACTACCACATGAACAAGAACTAATCAAGCATTTAAATCCACCATTAAAATCGCTCAACAATGTTAAGCCTATTCATAATCTGTGGGTGTGGGTGTGGGTGTGGATGTGGATGTGGGTGTGGGTGTGGGTGTGGGGTGTGGGTGTGTGGGTGTGGGTGTGCGTGTGGGTGTGTGTGGTGTGGGTGTGCGATTAGGTATGATGAAAAGACCAATACCCACACCCACACCCACATCCAGCCAGACACCCCAGTACTTGTGCCACTTGATTAGATTTCAGTAACATCGAAAATACTCTGTATTCGTGGTAATAATAACACTCTAAACATGTCTGTACAGATCCTCACACAAGGATGGAACGGTTGAGGGATGCTTTCAATAAAAAAAGTCTTAATAAAGAAAATTTCAGAGAGAGTATTACATTCTGACTGTTAACTTCTCAGTTTATCTCCAGTGGTTTTGATTCTGCGATGTAGTAATAAATTCTAAACATCCGGTAGAGTCCCTTGAGCAAGGACGAAACTAGTCGTGCGCTGCTCTGGATTTAAAATCATATCTCCTATTTTATAGAGGATAAATCTTGTTTTGGATTTATTCTTCTAAATTCAAAATAGATAAGCCATCTGAATGAGTCCCTTAGCTCGGACGAAACCGGTCATGGCAGCTCAATCACACTGCTGGTCCAAAAATTAGTTCTTCTATTGCAAGTTAGTTTCGACTTCTTGTAACACTGAAGATGTATCTTGTTTTGGATTTTATTCAAACAATTCAAAATAGATTAAGCCATCTGAATGAGTCCCTTAGCTCGGACGAAACCGGTCATGGCAGCTCAGAGATACTGTCTATAGTATTAATTCTTCTATTACAAGTTAAGTTTCGACTTCTTGTAACACTGAAGATACATCTGGTTTTGGATTTTCTTCTTGAAAAATCAGAATAGATAAGTCATCTGAATGAGTCCCTTAGTCCGGACGAAACCGGTCATGGCAACTCAGATGAAGCCCCGCCATGGACAGAAACAACTGTTGTCGTGGAACGGCGATCTATTCTTATCACACACCCACGCCCCTGTCCTTGAATTTACAATTGAGAACAAAGAAAAAGATCAAGCAATGTGAATAATACAGTGTATATTCAACGTATTATTAGAAAATGTTTTTTTTAAATACTATGTTGTTCTATGCAACCATATATAACAAAGAAAAATTCTATTGATGAAGTTTCTTTTTTTTTGTCAATAAAACGAAAAATGCTTTTAGCCATGCTGGTTTGTGAAGGTGTGTTGTCAATAAAAGTTTGTTATACTTACATAAAAACATGATAAAGAAATTTATTCTTATGTGTAAAAACACAACACATTTAAGTACATCAGTGAAGTGTATTATTCATTTTTCATCACTGGCAACCATCGCTTTCGTCACTTTCAACTTCACCGAAACAATTTTACGTAGGTGACGGTATTGAAATAAACAAAAAAGTTTTTCGTTGAAGTTGAAATCGACAAAAATGGAAATTACCATTATACGTTTGAAATAAAAACAACATAATAATCGAAAAAACGTTTACTAACGATACTTTAAATATGCGACTGAGAGATGAAGATGAGAGTGTAATGTGAGTCCAGAATTACACTGTGACCACAATTTCGATCTTGCTCAAGGGTCTCATTAGACGATTTAATTGTATATAGACGAAACCGGTCTTGATATGCTTGACTCATCACCTCAAGGAAAATCTTAAATCATAACTTGTATGTATTCTTATATATATACATCTCATAACAGTATCAAATCTTGGATAACAATGATTTGATTCTTTCTTTGAATTATTTATTTTATATAAAGTCACCTCATGAGTCTCTTAAGGCGAAGAACGAAACCAGTCTTGGTATGCGTGTGTGGGTGTGGTTGATTCAACCCTCGGTGTCCAATTCAATATTCTCTTCGAATCCTTTTCCTTGTGGCAAATAATTTTTTTCTTTAGACCAAAACAAAAAGAACACTGCAGACGCTTCTATGGAATTCACTCGAGAAAAGTAATGTCTTCAAATAGGGAGGAAGTAAAATTTCGTCGTCGTCGATTTTTCTTACAAAGACTGGATCCCTAGTACAGTACTTAATACTTTTGTACTGCTCAGCATGAAAGTTTCAAGTACAAAGTAAATTTTTCCAGTGAAAGTATAATTACATATAATAGGCATTCAAAACTTTGAACACAACAAAGTACACATATACTTTAATCTATTTGCTGTCGACGAATGTTTGTTTGCTGCAATGTCTTTAACTTTAGCTTGAATGCTACGGTGAGTACTGCGACAATAAATGGAGTTATATTCGATATAGTTACAATAACATTTTCTTAATTGTCATTCAAATCCTATGTGATAAAAATAATAACGAGTCTTATTGACAAAGACAAAAAATAGAAATAAAAAAGATCTCGATTAAAAAAACAACAAAAACAAAACTGTATCATGTAACATTCAAGTGTATCTGTTGAAAATCGTAAAAATATATCATTATGTTCATAATAAATTTTGATTTACTTTCAAGAATACCAAATCTTTGAATAACTGCTCGCTCATGTTTGTTCGCCGTGATGAAAGAATCAGACCAGCATGTGAAAATACTCTTTCCACTGGTGCAGATGAAGCTTGAACAGAGAAAATACGCATCACCAATTTCTTTAGAACAGTCAGTCGAGAAGACGACCAATATTCTGAGAATCTCGATCTTATCGGATCATTTAGATAGCTCTCTAATTCATTGGCAGGATCAAATACTATTGCTAGATTGAACTTCTCATCATATTCATAGTACGCAAACAATTTCTTCTTTTTCGATTTCGACATCTCTAATGAAGCCGATGATAATGGAGCTGTTGCTTCTGATGTAGTTTTTAGCGATAATGATGAGGATGAATCTTGAGCAGAGTTGCCACCTCTTCTGCTTTTAGCAGAAAAATTCCGCTTTTTGAAAGTTTTTCTGCTTTTTGAAAGTTTTTCTGCTTTTTTTCTGTCTTTTCTGCTTTTTGGATTTTTTTCTGCTATTTAAAAACGGTTTTATTTTTATAGTTTATATCAACGACCTTGGATTCTGGTAAATGATTATACTAGGGTGTGGGTGTGGGTGTGTGTGGGTGTGGGTGTGTGTAGGTGTGGGTGTGGGTGTGTGGGGTGTGGGGTGTGTGGTTGTAGGTGGTTGTGGGTGTGGGTGTGGGTGGGTATGAGTGTGGGTAATAACAAGAGTAACAATCACGCCCACACCCTCAGGGATATTATTGTTCCTCTCATTCAGGCCCACATCCACACCCACACTACACCCACACCCACACCCACGCCCCACCCACACCCACGCCCCACACCCACATCCACACCCATTTAAAAGGCTGTAACAAATACTCGAAGCTTATATAGAAATATAATGATAAGACATTGTCTGTGTGTCCATATAATGAGACTTTGTCGTGTCTCAAAACCTATGAAACACCCTATATGAATTTGATTGATTTTAGTAAGAGCTTTTACTGACATCTACACCTCGATTCAAACCTGCATTACCATATGCACATTTTCAATTCATTTTGTTTTTTTTTCTTTTTATGACATCACAGAAAAGCAAATAAAGTAATCATCATGAACACGTTGCATATGCAGAAAAGCAAAAAAATTTTCGTACTACCGATTTTACACACGTGTAGTTGGAAAAAACCAATTGACTTTAAAGAAATTTCTCCAACTAAAGAAATCAAGCAAAACAAAATATGTCAACATCTATTCGAGATAAACTACGGCATCTTCTTCTCATCTGGCTCGATACAAAACTTTTTACATCGGAGCATCACCCTAAAACTCGTGAACTATTTTTAGGTATAGTCGATTCGATCGAAATATTTTCTGATCCTGATACATGTGTCGATTTTCTTACTGATCGAGATAATAATAAAGAACGGATTTCACTCGTTCTGTCGGAATCATTTGGTGAAAATATTGTTCCACTTATTCATGAAATAGCACAGTTACATTCTATTTATGTTTATGATACAGATGAATCGAAAAAAATATCATGGATTTTCGCATATAAAAAAGTCCAAAATCAAGTATGGAATAATTTCCAATCGATAAGTGACCATTTGAAATCGGAAACTACTGAACAACCAAAAGAATCTGTTGCTATTTCAGTTGTCTCATCGTCAGAAATTGCAGCTGGAACTCGTCAAGACCCATCTTTTATGTATAGTCAATTACTGAATGAAATTTTATTGAAGCAATCTATGATTGATAGTGAACTTTTTACGCGTCTTGAAATGATCAATTTTTGTAGAACACTTTACAAGAATAATGATAGTGAACTTCGAATAATCGATGAATTTGATCAAGAATTCTCGGATGAACTTGCCATTACTTGGTATACACGTGAATGTTTTCTTCATAAAATATTAAACAGAGCATTATGGACTCCTGAACCAGATGTTCTTTATAGATTACGTTATTTTCTTCGTCTTCTCGATCAACAGATACGATCTGTAGCTGCTGAACAACCTGCATTAACCGAACGAATGACTGTTTTTCGTGGTCAAGGTATGTCAACTGATGATTTCAATAAATTGAAGAATGGTATAGGTGGTCTTCTGGCATTCAGAAGTTTTCTTTCAACAAGTCTCAATCGAAATGTAGCTTGTGAATTTGCAGAACCATTTAAATCTAGTACTGATCAAACTTCGATTATATTTGTAATGAATATTGATTCGAACATACAAGATAATTCGTTTATTCATATTGGTACTGTGAATAATGTTGGAGAATCTGAACAAGAAATTTTATTTAATATTGGAACAGTTTTTCGTATTGATAAAATTGAAAAATTGAGCGATAATCAATGGGAAGTATATTTAGCTTCAAGTAATGATATTGATGTAAAGCTAGCTCAATATACTGAACAAATGCGTAAACAAATACAAAGTAGTCATCCATTGATAAGTTTAGTCAAACTTGTAGATTATTTGGGTCAATACAAAGTAATTGAAGCTTTGGAAAAGATTTTTAACGAGTTTAATGTCTTATATCAACTTGTTGGTTTAATGAGTGAAATGAAATTTGCATTAGGTTCAGCATATTTTTCGGCTGGACATCTGAAAAATGCTCTTACACATTTATACGAAGGGTTAAACGTTGCTTTAGAACATATGCCATCAAATGATCCTACTCTTTCATCAACATATAACACTATCGGTAGTATCTATCATAGAGCTGGATATCACGAAGCATCACTTACTCAACATCAATTAGCAATTGATTGCCAACTAAATGCACAGAATCCCGACTTTGATTCACTTGCGACTTACTGTATGAATATCGCTAAAGTATATAATGCATTAAAAAAGTATAATGATGCATTAAATTATCAGAAACGTGCATTAGAATATCGACAAGGAAATCAAAATAAAAATGATTCCAAATTAATGGAGATTTACAGTGCATTAGGACAGACATGTTACGAAATGAAAGATTATGAAGGAGCAGGTAAATTATGCTTTATTTGTTTGGTTGGATCGAGTAATTATTGAGTTTCAATCATTATACTTTAAAGTCAAAGAAAATAGTAATAAGAATGATGAAAGAATAATTAAGAAATATTCTACATATTCTAGATTTCTCTATCATCGATTTATAATCGGAAATCGTCTGCTTTCTTCGGTCTCTCTTCATCTAATAATTAACTAAAAATCTCATTAAATGATTCTATTAGCTAAGTTATTTTCAAAATAACTATGTTTACAACGCCATATTTACGGAAAATTTAACGCCTAGAACGAAATTGAATATAGAGGATGTGACTAGTACCGGTGACTTCAGTGCATTTGCATTTATAAATAATGTCTATCATATAGCAATTCTCATTCATTCGTGAGACAAAAAATTTTCGACTGATTTAGATAGTATCAGTGAACTTTATTTTTTGCTTACAATCCAAACTATACTACACGATAGTAATTCTTGATTGGTCTGATTTTTATATATGAGAAGGAAAGTATACCTTGTGATTGAATCCAGAAATGTATCAGTGACATACCGATACGATCAGAGTACGAATTTAAGAATACATGTAAGTTATCATATACTGTACAATTGTTTACTGAATCTGTTTAATTAAAGCTTTGCTGTTCTTTTTCATGTGTTGAAAGTTGTTCTCTTGAATTAACGCTCCCTCTTCACAAAAGTCACTTTTTATCAGAATCATTGAAATTGAGATAGATGCAGGGGAGGATAGATTATCGTCTGATCTTATATAAACAATAGAAATTTTTCTTCGATACCTTTTTTTTTTCGAAAAACTTTCAAGATTTTTGACAAATCCTATTCGAGAAGAAACCGGGTTTTAGAAATATCCAAAAATCGTTTTCTTCTTTTCTCAAAGTAGTATTTGAACGACGCATATCCATCCAAATTCAATTATAATCCTATATAAAGTCAATTTTTTTTTTGAAAAACCATCGAAAACTACAGTGCCTGTGAGAGCCTTTTTTTGATAAAGCTTTCTTATTATTATATTGAAAAGTGATTTTATAATATAAGCATAATTTTTTGAAGGATTTTTGAGTGATTGAATTTCTGAAGCCTTTTTTTTTCTTATTAAAGATAAAAGAGATTTTTTGAAGATGCGATAATCTATTTTTCGACCCTTGCTTGATTCGTAGGCACCTTATACATGAGGAAAGGAGACTGAAAATTTTATCATAGACGTTCTTTTATAGTTCCAATTTATCTTCAAAGTTTCATGGTATCTCGATGCTCCTGAACTGAGATCGAATTTTCAGGCGGGCTAAACTTAGTTGTGTTCGAGAAACATTTAAACACTGATTATATTTTATAGAATAACCAACGTTCAATTTATAATTTATTCTTAAGTTTCAGAGACATTGATCATAGATATGATTAGCAATAATTACTTCTTTTTTAATATATCGTTTTATTAAATCGAAAATATTTGAAGTGATCTTAAAAATATGTTGACAAAGACAAATTATTCATGAATACTCATTGTTTATCGTCATACAAAAATCGATCTCATCATTAGAAATTTATATGAATGTTTAGTTAGCCTCTCGGAGATGAAATCTCTCGAAATAAAAGAAAAGCATTACCATTTTCTATAATAAAAACTTACCCTTCATTATGATGTTAAGAATTATGTAAGCTATAGAAATAAAAACAATTAGTTGTTTCGATAAACATACGTATAGTGAATCCTGATCTTAATCATTTTGGTTCTTGATCGTCTCGGCCTAGACAGAAAATTTTCCTAATTTTGACCCGTTTCAATCCTTTTCTTTCTACTTTCTTCAAATCGGTAACACTTACTTAGAGAAGCAACAGAACCACCATCTACTCAGCGAGAGTCAAAATTTTTTCCTATAGAAAGTATCTTCACTACTGTCTGAAGCCCATCTCTTAATCTCGATACACTTCAATATAGGACTGTGCTCTCAGCAATATTATTTTATTTTAGCAACGTATAATGGGAAGGCTTTACAAATTCAAGAAACAGCCTCAGCTACCGATCCAATTTCGTCCGCTAATCAATTCCTAGCAACTGGACGAATAAGTTTTTCGCAAGGCCAATACGATGATGCAAATCAGTCTTTCAAATGTGCACTTGATTTACAAAATCAGTATTTATTGCCCAACAATCCATTGTTTGCAGACACCCATCATCTTATAGCTGGCTCCTATTACAGAAAAGGAAAATTCAAGGAAGCAATACCGTACTATCAGAAAGTGCTCGATTATAAATTAAATTTTCTACCTGACGATGATCCAACTCTTGCTGTCAATTACTGGAATTTATCAACGGCTTATTCAGAAGACTCACAATGTGAACGAGCACTTGAATGTCTATACATTGGACTCAAACAATTGCGTAAAAGATCTGATCCGGATCCATCAGAATTAGGACAGTTTATGGGTCAAATAGGATATATTCTTAGTAAACAGAAAAAATATTCTGAAGCTATGGATTACTTTAAAGAAAGTCTGTCTCTCAGGCAGATCGCTGGCGATGACGAAAATGGATCGCTCGAAGAGTGTTATAGTAGAATGGGAGAAAACTATGAGAAATTAGAAAATTATTCTGATGCACTAGTTTGTTATGGAAAGAAATTGGATATCGAAAAGAATGCTCTTATTATTAATTGTTCGACTATTGCCACTACATACTTCAATGTATCGCGTATGCATTTGAAAATTTCACAATACGATGAAGCTTTACAACATGCGCAAAAAGCACTAGAATACTTACAAAAGTTTCCGAATCAAGACATAGTTTTATTTTCGAAGACTATTTTTCATCTTGGAAATATTTCTCATCAAAAAGGAAAACTCTCTGAAGCTATATATCACTATCAACAAGCTCTTCCTTGTCTTGAACGGTGTATCGATGCCAATGATTATCAGTTTGCAAATATTTACAGTACCATAGCCAGAGCTTACTTTGAAACTGGTAATTACAGTGAGGCATTAACTTACTATGAGAATGCATTACAAATAGAATTTCTTAATTTACCTGATGATGAACCAACTATGGCTACAACGTACGAACGTTTGGCTGAAACTTATACTCATCTGAGAAGATTTGATGCAGCAATTGATGCTTATCTAAGAGCAATCGAGCAACTTTCGAAAACACTTCCACCAGATCATGCAGATATACAAAAACTTCAGACAAAAATACAAAATGTTCTCTCATGTTAAATTCTTTATTGTAAGAAATTTAAAGATGGAGTAAAGGCTATTGTCTATCTCCTTATTTGTGAATATTAAATTAGATCTCAATTACTAAAACTTAATTTAATGTCGGTTTAATTTATACAAATTCGAAACAATCTGAAGTTTCAACATAACAACTAGTTTGAAGAGAAATTATAATTTGAATTATTCTACCACAATAATTGTAATTCTTTCCCAAGATAAGATGGTGTCAAACATCGAGCAGAACTTTATCTTTTGAAATCATTCAAGTTGAAGTCCGAATTGACGTGTTGTCTTCTTCGTGAAATATTTCTATTAATTTATCAATAGTAAAAGAATAATAAATTATAATATCTTCTAAAAATTTCAGGCTTTACCTAAGCTTTACAAACTGTTCATATTCAAAAACTAACATGTCTAATAAATTTTAATAAAATAAATTTAAAAAATCTTTTTAACTCTAAAACATGTTAATTGTTTGGCAAAACTCACAAATGAAATTGTACATTATGTATGTGAACAAAATATTAATATGTTTGATTGGAGACTTTGAACTTTGGTCGAAAGGAAAATATCGAAAACTGAAAATACGAGTGTATACTGATGACGATGGTGCTAGAAATCATTGATATAATAAACTACTATTTTACATGCTTGCTCCTTTTCACCAACATAATGATTCTAGTTTTCGATATTCTCCCTTTCTATGTGTTTGCTTTTTACGAAATTTCAGGGAATGGTGGAATTGCTAATAATTCAAATAGAAATGATCGCGCTCGATTCCTATACTTTTATGAAAGAGACATTAGGCAANCAATGAGCCATATTCACAATTCGCTTGTTGGCCACTATTTCAGCTATATGGTGGCCAACACATAATCATTCATTTCTTTTCCTCTTTTCGATTGTTTAAAAAGGAAAAGAAATGAATGATTATGTGTTGGCCACCATATAGCTGAAATAGTGGCCAACAAGTGAATTGTGAATATGGCTCATTGCGACAGCAGCAACTATTTCATTTAACCCCAATGAATATCTCTGGTCATTTTACAAGTTCTTGAAAGAAATGCAGTCTTAATTAAATGAGAGTCTACTGAAATATATAACTCATATTTATCGAAAAAAAAACAATTTGATATACGAAAGATGACGTTAGTAACCGACTAGAAGAAATTCGTGTGTATAATTTGTGAAGGCTAAAGAACATTTCTATCCAATAAAATTCCACAAGAAAACGCAGCGCTGTCGTCTCAATCTATCGAATAATCTCGATTCAAATATTTTAGTGGTATTACTAAACACAAGCTATTATCAATAATTCAAACTATAACTTAAACGAAATCTATATAAATAATGATTTAATTTGTAATTTCAGTTTTAGATGTCTTCGAATACAAAAATTCCTTTTCCCAAGGTAAAACAGTCTCGTTGGGGTCATCCACTTGTATTTGTTGCATCAGTTATTGGTCTTGCTGGTTCAAGTGCTGTCTATTATGCTCATATTCGTGCGCGACAAAAAGCTCGAAGTATTTATTGTTCTTCTCGGCATATCCAGTTTTTTGAATTTTAATACTTTTAGCTCTGTTGCTCGAACAATCATTTTATAAACAAGCACTTGAATTAACAAATGGTTATAAACCAATAACTGAAAAACTTGTTGAACCAATTCAACCACTTCAAATCGATACAACAAGTAAATTCAATATTCTTGGTTCCCTGGGAGCACAAGTAAGTCTATTATTAAAATTAGGTTTTTTTTTATTTTCTTTTTCTTTTTTAATTATTAAATAAAATTTAATATAAATCAATAAGACTCAATAAAAAGTTCGAAGAACTGAGTCATTCCTGCATTCTAGATAAAATATCTAAAATCTCTTGAAAACAATCATGCAACATGATGATGTTATCTGGTCCGTTCTCAATGGGCAATTTTGTTCATATAAACAACAAAAATCAAAAACTCAATTATTTTGTTCAAACGAATATAATTTAACTGGTTTATGTGATCGTCGTTCATGTCCATTAGCTAATTCTCAATATGCAACTGTACGTGAAGAAAAAGGTATTTTATATCTTTATATGAAAGTTGTTGAACGTTCACATTATCCAAAAAAACAATGGGAAAAAATAAAATTACATGAAAATTATCTTCGGGCATTAAAACAAATCAATGAACATTTAATTTATTGGCCACGTTTTATAAGACATAAATGTAAACAACGTTTAACAAAATTAACACAATATATTATTCGTACACGTCGTTTAATGTTAAAAAAAACTGCTAAACAAGAATTAGTGCCAATAAAAAAGAAAGCTGAAAGACGTGAACGTCGTCATGAAGAAAAAGCATTTGTTGCTGCAAATATTGATCGTGCTATTGAAAATGAATTACTTGAAAGATTAAAAAAAGGAACATATGGAGATACATATACATTTCCGGTTAATGCAATTTCAAGTAAGAATTGATTTTTATTTTTAAATCTATTTTGAATTTTCGTTTTTTTTTGTTATAGTGGATGAAGAAGATGAGGAGGTTGAAAGTGATGAAGAAAAGGAAGAAGATGAAGATGAAAACGAACAAGAAAGTGAAGAAGAAATTGAATATGTTGAAGATTTTGATGAAAGTGATGTTGAAGATATGGAAGATATGGATGATGAAGAAGAAATCATTAAATCACTTCCATTATCAAAGAAACGTTCACTTGAAATTGAATATGAACCAGCAGTAACAAAGAGTAAAGAACGTTTAAAACATCGACGACAACCGTCTTCAAATAGTACCAATACGTGAAATACTCTTATTGTTTTGTTTTTCATATGTTAAATAAAAAAAAAAAAGACCGGATACAAAAAAAATGAATTTCTCTCTTTTTTAATTTGTTTATGCACAAATAATATTATTTAGGTTGAAATACCTGTTCGAGGTGCGGAACGTGCCGGAATTATTTATTGCTATGCTACAAGAGATTCAGTAAATGATGAGTAAGTCATTTGATTTTAAATTGAAAATTCAAATACAATAAAATATCCTTATATTGATGAGACTATAACTTATCAGAGCGAATTTTTCTAGGAATGAATCTCTCAAAATATGAGAATCTTCTTATCTTGATGAAGGAACGTCAGAACTATTTGGATCATATAGGTTCTAATGAGTTATGCATATCCTGAAAAGGATTTGGGTTAATAACTTATTACGGATGAGGTACTGTAGCAGAATGCCGTGATCTCTTTCTGAATTTCGATTTGAAAATTTGCACAGAGACAGAGCTTAACGGATATAGATTATTGTAAAAGTTTCAGATTTTTGATTACGTCTATTCTGAAACAAGACCATCAGGATTTGTCGCTGTGTATGTGAACAGTGTAGAAAAACATACTTTTGTCATAGCCATATCTTATGATAGAATCAATCAATAGATTTGAAACTTTTACAATAAACTATCTGTATTAGAGAGTGTTTCTATGCAAAATTTCAAATCGAAATTCAGTTTTCCTGAAGAAGATCACGGCATTCTGCTACAATATCTCGGCAGTAATAAGCTATTAACTCGAACTCTTTTCATTAGAATCTACATGATGCACTTAGTCTCGACTCAAAAGCAATTTGACGCTTAGAAAAAATCCTTCGTAAGCACAGTGGGCGCTTATTTCTAGTCCCGCAAGCAATAACAGTCTCTAGATATATGTTCTATTTCTAACATTCAGAACGAAAAAAAATGATATTACATCAATTGCGTTGTGATAAACAATCATGAGACTCATATAAGAAGAGGAATAGCTTAGCCGTAGATACTTAAACATCAAATCAAGACAAGTTGATTACCTATGATGAAAACAAATTGAATCAATAAATTGTTGAAAAGAAAAAAAAATCACCTTGTGCAATCAAAAAGTGATTGCAACTAAAAACTCCCGTAAATTGAGCACTTTTTGCCAGTCGTGCATTAGAAAGGTTTTACTGTGTTAATAAAAAAAAAAAAAAGATCGTCATTCAGTAATGTTTAAGCACAAAGCAAATACCTTTTTTTCATAGTATCGAAATACAATGATTCTTTAAATGATTATTAAGAATCGATTAACCTTCTTTGAAACTATTCACAGTGAATATATATATATATTTCGATTTAGAAAAGTATTTGCTTTATTGTAATAATATGATCGAATATTTTACTTAAATAAATTGTTATTCGTTTTGTTTTTCTTTTCAGTTGGCACGTCGATAAACTTGAATTTAAAGGTAGTAGTCAATCGCAACGTTATCTTTTCTACGATCGAACATTACGACGAAGTTCACCATCATCAGAAAAATCGGAATAACATTTTTTTTGATTTAGAAAATAAAATGATTTCAACATGATTTATCTTTCCCTGTTTCCTTTTTTTTTGTCTCTTCTAGATGTTAATCATCTATTTTTTATCATTCCTTTTTGCATTTGGTGATACTTATAATTGGTCTGAACTTGATATTCCAATTGAACATTCGACTTATTTCTTTACAAATAATCCTTCCATACATAATCAATGTCTTCTTGATAAAGATAAATGTCCTTATTATGAACAAGCAAAAAATCTTCCATCATCTGATATAGCTTGTTGGGGTTATGAACCAAATTGTAAAAATAATGCATCACTTATTCAATGTCCCGATGATAGTCGAGGTTGGACAACAACGAAAGAAAAACAAATCTATGAATTTTGGCGAACAGCTGATTTTGGTTATATTGCAGAAAAACGTAATGAATTAAAAGAATTTTGTTCATCATCACTTGAATGTGTTGATCATTTACGTTTTTGTCGAGCAAATAATATTTATATTGATTTTCGACATATTGAAACATCAAAACATCAAGATCGGTATCGTGAAGATATACTTAAATATGGTGATATTGGTGGTAATTGTAAATTAAATCGTAATGATTTAATTAAAAATGGTGATCATAAAAGTCCATTACAAAGTTGGTTTTCTGAATTACAAGTTTTTATTGAAGTAAATGATACAAATTCATTTAATTGTGATTTATATATAACGAAACCAACAATATTTATTAAACTTGATAGTGGATATAATATGTATCATCATTTTTGTGATTTTATTAATTTATATGTATCACAACATATGAATAATACATTTTCGAAAGATATACAAATTATTTTATGGGATACAAGTAAAAATGATTATTGGAGTTTTTTTTCGCATACATGGAATGCATTTACATCAAATCGTCTTATACATATTAAAGAATTTGAAGGAAAACGTGTATGTTTTCAAAATGTTATTTTTTCATTTCTTGCTCGAATGTTTTATGGTAAGATGAAATGAAATAAGGTGCATTCAAAAGCAAAACATGTGCAACAATATTTGATATCCCTATATTTTTACATTGTTGTATAGAATTCGTCGAGTTGAAACCTTCAAATATGCTGTTGATCGAGTTTTGTATGAGAAATCTTAGAAGTATACTACATCAAAAATAGTTCCTCAGCACGGTGGAAGTTTTACATATCATTTGAACCATGAAGTGAAAGCAAAAACAAAAACGTTCGTATGGGTTTGACTAAATGTTGAAGAATTGCATCGTTCATCATGTGGTCTCTCCTCAGTAGAGCCCATTGGATTGGTCTCGGATCCGAAAATTTGGATTCGATAGACTCAACACAGTGTCAAACTTTGATGAAAAATATTTTTTTGATGAAATATATGTTGATTCTGAATTTTATTCTTATTTGACATGAAAAATAAAGCATCAAGATTGAAATATTGAAGTGCAAGTGCAATTCTTTGGTAGTTTGCCATCGAGTTCGAAAAAATTGATTTTCTCAGCATGGAAGCAATATTTTTTGTTTTCATACCAATACGAGCTTTCCTTTTTCTCTTTACTCAATGGTTCGAATGACTTGTAAAAGTTGAAGAAATGTTTTCAAACAAAAGACTATATAGGTTTGGTAGAATAAGGAGGTCATTGTGTCAACTAACTGATCCAGTTGGTCATATTCAAGGAGAAAATGAACAATTCAATATCCTTAAATCTACAATTCTACTAAGTTTTTCATACAGAATATTTCTAAGATGTGACAGCCAATATTCGATCAAAAACATGTTTGAAAGTTTCAGCTCGATAAGCTCTATTCAAACATTTAAAAATATTAATGCCTAAATTTTTTCTCATGTTTTACTTTGGATGCACTTTATGTCTTTTTTTAATTTTATTTTAAATTATTTTTAAAAAAGGTTTCTATTATAATATGCCACTTATACCGGGTTGTACACAAACAAGTTTATTTCGTTCATTTCAACAATATATTATTCATCGTCTTCGTATACCACAATTAGGACCATTAAAATCCAATAAAATTCGAATAACATTATTGAATCGTACAACACAATTTCGACAGATTTTAAATGCTGATGAAATTGTTCAACATTTAAGAAATGTTTCAATTAATGAAAATAATGATTATATAATTAATGTTATAGATTATAATATTAATATACCATTTATTGAACAACTTAATATTACACATAATACAGATATTTTTATGGGTATGTTGTTGTTTTTTTTTTCGTCGATAAGAATATTTTTGAAATAATCAATGAAAATTAGTATATCAATATATTTCATTTTAGATGCTTCGTGAAAGAAAAAAGAATATCCTATCCAATGATGAGTATACATTTGTAATTTACAAAGAACATGCTAATCAGAGATGATATATTACAAAATAATTAAATTTTTTTTTTGTAAGAATTGAACGAGAAATCTAACGAAAAAGCTTTATCAAATAATAGTTCACTATTGAGATGAGTCTTACCAAGAGATGTGCGGGACCGGGACGACGACAAAAAGTTGTCCCAATCAAAACTAAACGTAATAGTTAACTATTCTATGGTTTTTAAATGAATTATCCTAATCTTCGACTTACTAAATAAAAAAAAAACAAGTATTGAAGAATTTGTTTAGATGTGATATAAATAAATTCTGAAATAATTTTCTCTTGACCGAGACTAAAAATAAGATTGATCTCGCAAGATGTTTTATTCAGACGATATCTTTCGAAGGAGCGATTTAAAACTTCGCAAGGTCGAACAGCTGTTTTGGAGAATACTGGCATATAGTACGTGCTAGAATAGTCATAAACTCCGAAAGAACCCGTCGAATATCTGGAGAGGCGCCGCTCTCTCTTTCAATAAAACACTAGTCCAGTATATTTTTCTAGTCTTATCACTCATTAGATCGATCCTATAGAGACTAGAGGAAATATTACAAAAAAAAATAATTCGTATCCATAAATCTTTCTTCTTCAGTTATGAGCATTGCCATAAGCATCTTCGGAATTGATTTTTGAGTTGAAATTTTGCATAAATTAATTTTTCAAAATAAATAGTTCATTGTGAAAATATAAGATTTTCTAGTATCTCCTATTTGTAGATGCCAATATTGAAAAGTCGATTGTGCAACATATAAACTCCAATAGTGTTCTCTCTACATTTTTCTCTACTGGAGTGATATTTAACACTCCGTGAGAGCGAACATCTACTTTTTGAAACACAAACTCATAATATACAAAACACTAACCACAAATGCCGAAAGGCCAACTCGATCTTCAGAGAGGCGTCACCCTTAAACTCTTACAATAAATAGCCGAAACTAACGAAGGAAGACTTGTGAACACAAATCTTTTTTTTTCTTCTAAGGCTTTCTAGAATTTCAGCAGGACTTACTTATTGAATTAAGACTCATCTCAAAAGTACTTTATCAATTGATGAAGTTCTCTTCTCAGTTATTCTATCACGAAGAATATTCTCCGATCGTGTTATGCATGTCACTTGTCCATCAAACTGTTCGATATATTGACTGGACAGTAATTTCATCTGATTTCCCATTCAAAATCTTCTAAAAATATCTATATGCTTGATTGATTGTTCATTTTGAATTAATAATTTTAATTAAAAACTAAATTCACAAACAGCTGTTTTTTTGTCGAAATATAAATATTTAAAGTATATTTTGTTTATTTTCTTTTAGGAATGCATGGTGCTGGTTTAACTCATTTACTTTTCTTACCAGACTGGGCAACTATTTTTGAAATACATAATTGTGAAGATCGAGATTGTTATTTAGATTTAGCTCGTCTTCGTGGTGTTAAATATTTTACATGGGAAAATGATGCTAAAGTTTATCCACAAGATGAAGGACGACATCCAACATTAGGAACACCACATAAAAAATTTACAAATTATGCATTTGATAAATATGAATTTGCTCGTATTGTACGTAAAATGGTTAAATATGTTAAAGAACATCCGGCTTATCGTTCTGCAAAACGAATAAAATATTCTACAACGAATCCTATACCGACACTAAAAGTTGAACAACGAGATACAAAAACAAGCAAAGATGAATTTTAAATTTTCTTCGATTTTGTTTTCTTCGTGCAATCTCATTTATGAATTTCATTGTTTTTAGAATGAGCTTTTTCTTTTGTGATAACACAAAATCTTTTTCTTCTCTTATATCAAAAATTAATCAAAGGGTGCTATTTTACCGAACATTGTTGTAATACGATTTTGTTTAAAATAATAATATTATATTGTTTTTTTTTTGTTTATTTATCAAGGGGCGACTAGAAAATGTCATTCATATGTTTTAGATGGCTTCAATAATGGCTGATGATGATTCGATGAGTGATGATGAACAACTTGATGTACGATCTTGTTTATCTTCTTTTTTGTTTGAATATTCTATTTTATTATTTCGGTAGATTCCGAATAATACAAAACATATTATATCAATTCGATTTGGTCAATTTGATATTGATTGTTGGTTTCATTCACCATATATTGATGTAGAAGATGGTTCAAATGAAAAAGATCGTACCATTGAAAAGTTATATATTTGTGAATATTGTTTACGATATTTTCTTAATAATAAAAAATATCGACAACATATGGTAAAAATAAAATTATTTAAAATCTTACAGAGGACAATAATAAGCCAATAAGAGATCAAAGCATGTCATATTAGAATTAATTAATGTCAATGTGTTAACATTAAATTATCATTTTTTTGTAATGCTAATATATAGACTACCGACGATTAATTAGATCACGGATACCTGAACTCAGAAGTTCCTGAAACTGAACAATTTTGTTCTGTTCTCAGAAACTTTCAAACATGAAGTCTAAGAGGATTAACTACAGGTAGTGTATGTATTAGAATTAAAAATAATGCTAATCCATTGGCATTAATTAATTAATTCTAACGCAAATAATACTCATGGGTTAAAGTTGATTTTAAGACTAATGCCTAAATAATTAGCATCATTCTAATACTAATGCTAATCTGATACTCCTTAGTAAAGATATGTTAAATCTATATTCGTTCAAGAATTTGTCAATAGAAAATTTCTAAAATTAAATATTAATTTTAGAATGAATGTAATCGACGCCATCCACCTGGTCGTAAAATTTACGAAGATCCTGATGGCCTATCTGTATATGAAGTGGATGGAACTGCATCACAGGTAAATTCGAATACAACTCATATATTTCATCATAGTATATTGTTTCTTTTATTTGTAGCTTTATTGTCAATGTCTTTGTTTATTAGCGAAATTGTTTCTCGAACGAAAAACAATTTATTTTGATGTTAATCCGTTTCTTTTCTATGTTCTTGTTGAATCGGATAAACGTATAAAAAATGTTCAACATATAATTGGATACTTTTCAAAAGTAAGCAGAATCTATTTTACTATTGTTTTATATCAAAGTTTTTTTTTTTCTTTATGAATTTTCCTAGGAAAAACTTAGTGATGAATTTTATAATTTAGCATGTTTAATGGTAAAACAATTAAATACTTTATTCTATTAATCAGATTTATTTTATTAGGTATTACCACATCGTCAACGACAAGGTTTTGGTCGATTTTTAATTGCATTAAGTAAGAATTTTGTTTTTTATTTTCGAAAAATAAATCATTAAATAAGATTTTTAGGTTATGAATTAACCAAATTGGAAAAGAAAACAGGTTCACCAGAAAAACCATTATCAGCACTTGGTCAAATGACATATAAAAGTTATTGGCATTCAACAATCTTATCAAAACTTGACGAATATCGTCGTTTACAAATTCATGCTACTGTTACGCAACTCAGGTTTATTTATTTGTTTAAAAAAGAAAAGAAAATAATAAATTTCTTTGTTTAGTATGGATACTGGAATTTGTATTGAAGATGTTATTCAAACATTAATTGATCTTCGTTTAGCACATACGAAAAAATCAACAAATGAGATTAACTTGAAACAACAAGAAGTACGAAATCGTCGTCGTCATCAACAATGTGATAATAACAATAATAATCTTGATTTATCATCAATATTAATTATTGATGCTGATGCATTACGTACAGCTTTGAATAATTCATCAACGAATAATTTATCATCAAAAGATAATCAAAATATATTTGATCCAACATATTTACGTTTGATTAGTAGACGATAATAAAACAAAAACAAAAGAGAGAGAGAAGGAACAACTTTTTTGTTTTTTAAAATTATTTTGTATATAAAAAGAAAACACTCTTCATATTGATTAATATTCTATTTTTGTTATTTTGTATATACGAAAAGAATTATCAATACAATACTTGAAAATATAGATAAGTATGAGTAATAGTTATGAATAAATAAATTATTAAATGCTTATTTTTTTTTTATCAAAATTCATTTTATTTTATTTCAGAAAATAATCAATAAAAAACAAAATAGAAAAAAAACATTTTAATATATAATCGTTAGAAAGTTTCTCTATTAATATGAGTATCAGCTGTTATTGGACGTTTTTCTTGTGTTTGAATAGATCCTATTGATCTCTAAAAAATAAAAAAACACATTTAATAATTATTTTGTCCATTACCTTACAAACCTGTTAACATACCAAATTTTCTGCTGATGCTTCTTGTTGAGAAGACATAACACAAACACTAAATTTTCCTTCACGATATCGTTCTCGATATTTATGAAAATACATAAATATTGCATCACATAAAATATCAGCTATGACCATAAAACCAATACCAGAGCCTTTAAAAATAAAAAACAAAAATATTCGTATTCACATAAATATAAAAATTAATATAATATATATACCAATAGCAACAAATAAATCAACTATATTAAATTGTCCACCTTTCCCTGATATAGCAACAACAAAACGTAATCCATAAATTTTTGATAATGTACGATAATCTGTATCATTTACACGATATTTTTGAGCTGATCTATGTAAAATAGAAAAAACAAACATTTTTTTTAAACTTAAAATTTTCTAATCCTACCGATAATTAATACCAGGAGATTGTTTATCATCACCAGTTTGTAATACACTAAATTCAATTTTTGGAAAACAATAATCTCTATGAAAATCAAAATTACATGTCCAATCTTGACGAATTTCAATTAAACCACCCTATACCATAATATATGTGATTAAGGTTTTTTAATTGAATATGAAGTTTTATTAAATAAGATTTACTTCTCGTAAAAGAGCTGATTTATTTGTTTTAAGACTATCCAGAATATCACCAATACGAAAAATAGGACAACGTGGATCATTAACTTTATGATATCGACATGTAAAATTAGTATCATCACGAACATTTCTCCTAGAAAAAAAGCAAAAGAACAACATAAGTTTTATTAATTAAAATTATAATCAAAACAAACAAATTGATATCAAATAAAGTAAATGTCACCAGTGTTTTTAAATAAATTGTAAAATTTTCCACATCATTACTATCCATTAGAAATTCACTTGAATAAATAAAAAACGAAATTTTAGAAAATTCTTTTAGAAAAAAAAAGTTTGTTCTCTTACGTTGACTGTGAAAGTTCTTCAGGACACCAAGCACTTATTTGGCAAACATTTATAGAAGCATTTTGCAAGCTTGGTACACATGCTCCAGTAAAATAACCTGAATATATCTATAAATAACACTACATCAACAGATAAAATCTACTCACCAAATGTATTTGGTGTTGGTTGACCTGCTAGACATGAAACTAATGATGATTGATTACAAAATAATCCATCTTGTAATGCCTATATTTAAGAAAAAAACAAGATTTTCGATAATAAAATCTTCTCTTTTACATACACTAGGACATTGACCTTCTGTTTGACCGTAAGTAACTACTTGTCGTGTAGCAATAAACAATGCATTATTTTCCTAATATCAAATTAACATTAGATATGAAAACATAATTAATTCAACATACAAGTGGTGGTATTTGATATTCAGCTGTATCCCATAAAAATGCCGATTCTGCATCTTAATTATCAAATATTTGTTTATTTTTATATACAAATTTATTTTATTTTTGTTTTTTCTAACATACGCACGAATCGTGTTGTTTCATTGTCTGTTACTTTAGCAATTCCTTTTACTTTAATTACACTTGTTCCACGTGGTTCTTGAAATTGTTGATATCCTTTTTTAATCCAAACAATATAACTAAAGAATAAAAAATTTCATAATTATCTTTGTTGTTTTGTTTCGAAAAAAAAAAATAATTTTTTTTTACAGTGCTATATAACAAATAATAATCAATTGAATTATACGATAAATAATTGCAATAAGTGTATGTGGTACTTGAACTACTTTGACCGTTGAATAAGTGAAAAATGTATCGGACAGAACAGCACAACAACATCTTTTTACTAAAAAAAGAAATTCAATAAACTTACTATTATTACTTATAACAAACGGGTCATTCTCACTTGATATAGCCATTGTCTTCTATCAAATGAAACAAAGCAACAAAAAAAAAAGTACAACAAACTTTACGTGTCAGTATGTCAACAGAGTCTTATCAAAGACATCAGAAGAATATTATTATTAAGAATTTCATTTTATGTTTATCATAGGACAAAGTATAATAAATTTCATCTTTCTTTAATAAAAATTGAATATATATCTTAAAAAAAGGGCAAAAATTGAACATTTCGAAATTTATTGATGATATATTAGTTTTAGTTTGTTATCTTTTATTCTATAAACTAGAAAGAAAATTTTCTTGTTCAGACAATTTTTCTTTCAACGATCAAAATCTGTATAAATAATAGTTTAATTTTATAGCATTAATGATTTCCATTGAAAGCTGATGCTTGACATAAAAGTAAGCGTGAGTATGGGTCAGAATATTTGTCTTCTTCTCATCCTCACATTCATATTCACACCCCTTTTATTAATTTTCCAATAACATTAATTGATAAATGTCTTCACCCATAGTCAATTTTTATCGATTAATAGTTTAGAATGCATTAGACTATAAGGTGAATAATTGTAAGAGAATGTATTTTACTAATAATAAATAAGCAAAAATTCATCATTGAATATCTTTTTATCAATCAAATTAGACCAAAAGCATTGAACTAGAAAACTAGTCGACGTTTCATCTACGGAAAACATTTGGAATGCATTAAAAGGAAAATACGAAAGCGACAACTGGAAAACGACATTAAAACAGAATGATAAAAAAAAATTGAGTATTTTTCTATGTCAATGAATGACATATAAGGCACCAGGGTGATTCAAAATTAATAATCGACCATGATGGTAATCAAATACACTAACATGAATAACTTGGTTTATGTTTTGTTCTATTTCGAACATACTAACCAAAGAGATCGGGAAAATCGATCTAATAACGCACGATAGTGTTGTTTAGAGATCTACAAGGTCTTTGCAGAATACGATAGAGTAATGGTTACAAGGTTTTCCTCAGGCACAGTACAGGATAGAGTTCATCGAGCCCAAAATTACGGATCCGGGTCAGCCCAACGGATTTTAATATAGGATATGAAAAAGCTTATCCTATAAATCTCTAGTATTATTACAATTTCTCAAATGTAGTAAAAGTTATAGACCTAAAACTTTATAGTTATTTAGTACTAAGAAGGCGCAATAATTTGTTAAAAAACGAAAAGAATTTGTTTTTGTCAAATACAAGAATAACAAATTTTTGAAATCGTTCCAAAAATTTCTAACACATACTTTTGTATATAGTTTAAGATTTATCATTCATTCATTTTCTTATTGATTCTTACAGTCTGAGACATCCAAATAAAGACTTAATTAAATTACTATTGAATTAAAATCATATCGATAGACTTTATTTGCATTTAAAGAATAAAACAAGTTCTTAGAAATTATCTTCAATATTGATTTATACTTGAATTTTTCGATGCACGTAAAAAAACATATATTCTCCAGTTAAAACTCATTTTTTAGAAAAAGGTTAAGCTCTTTTTTAACTATATGTCATGCTATTACCACCTATTTTTTTTTCTTATACAATGCAAACTAGAATCCGATGCTATACTCATCGATCGTAGCAAAAAAAAAGAAGTTATCGGTTCACAATCAAATCATTCAAACTAAATCGTAGTGATCATGAGAACTAGATCACTTCAAATTGTCGATGACAAGATAATTTCTAATTAATCGATATTTCATATATTAGTCACTGATTAAAGAGCAGTCAAGGTTTTTTTTTTTGTGACATTATCATATACAATATTTGTAATAGATAAAAGTTGATTTTAATCTAAACAAGTCACTCACCTGAATCAAATACATTTGATATCATCATTTTTACAAAAAAAAAACAATAAAATCGACAAGACGAGGAATTGACATATATATATATATGTACAAAACGAAAAAAAAATGTGAATCAGTATTTATTCTTTTATAATCAGATAATATAAGGGGATTAGAAAGAAAAAAAAAAGATAAGGAAATACATGCCATTTTATCACACTAAATCAATTATGCTAAATATTAAATTCCTAGTATGACGGAATTCTATTGATCTTAAACAAATATATTAAACTCTGAAAAAAGAAAATCAGTACTATTTATTTTAAGATAATATTGAAGTTACAATCGTTGGACGAGTTTTTATTCTTGAATGTTTATGTAATGAAGGACGAGAAATATTAGATGATTTTGTTTTTTCTAAAACATTTAATTTTGTTTGTTTTTGTTCGGATGATGATAAAGAATTTTCATAATAATAAATATCTGTTAATTGATTTTTAAATTCATGATAACGTTTATCATTTAATGCATTCATTTGAATAATATTATTTTCACGTTGTGACATATATAATAAATCTTTTATTGTAAATTTATTTTGATTTTCTTTTGTACGTAATTCATAACATAAATGACGTGCAGATTGATTCGATAATGAATCAAAAAATATTAAAGCTGATATTGATTGTGGTAAAAAAATATAATTTGATAAATTATTTATTTCAGGAATTTCTCTTATAAATTGTGGACGATTTATAAATAAATCAACTAATGGTTCAATATTTTCATTAGTTGAAAATGGAAATTTTAAATGTTCGAAATTTATTGGTTTACGTAAGAAATATTCACTTCCTATTTGTGAAATCATTTTCTGAAAAAAAAAAAAGAAAATATAAAAAATTTCATTACCAAGAAAAACTAATGGTAGAATTTTGTTTGAAGTTAATGTATTTGAATACATATATATGGAATTTGTTTCAATAGAAGTATTTCGATGAAAAAAATAACCAGAAGAAATAATTCTAAGATTTGGATAGATAAAATTAGCTGATGATTGAACAAAATCCAATGAAAGTAAATAAGTTAATTGAGTACGTTGTCGAAATTCACTTGTTAGATGTTCAATACTTGAAGATGAATCAGGATGATCATTAGAATAAATACTTGATTGTTTATTGAAATCTTTATTAAATGAACTTTTTTCTGTTTTACTTATATTAGAATTTGAAATAAATGATTCAGAATATTGTGGAATTCGAATATTTTCATTGATTATGGTTTTATTGTAGATTGATGATAGACTCTTATGTGAAAATTTCTTTTTTGTTAATGAAGACAATGAAATATTTTTTATGCTATAAATAAATATAGATAAATCAAATATTTGAAAGGTCAATTATATATATGAAATTAAATTGAAATCATTTAAAAGAAATATTTTAATTTTGTCTTTAGAATTTTTTTTCTAATCTAACAAGGGAACTATTCAAAGTAATACGCGCTGTTTGTATTCATATTGGACCCACAGGCAGCTCTCAGTGAGAATAGCAAAAGTCTAAAAAGGTTTGTCCCCGTTGGTCTTCGGCACTAAGTTATGATCGGTTTATTGGATTTTTTACCCGTTTTTAAGGTATTTCAGGGAAGACTGATTAATGAAGGTTTGACCCAAAATTTTGCCTGTAGATAGACCTGATAACTTTAAGAATATTCTGAAAGTTTCAGTCGACAAGAATGTTCCTTCATCGAACTATTAAATTTTCAGATGAACTTGATTCTTGTGACAAAGTGCTACTTTTGGAAATTCAATATCTTGACAAAGGAACACTGTTTTTGGTTGAAATGTCCAGGATATTCTAAGAGGTATTATATTTATCTGTTGGCAAAACTTTAGATTGAAATTATATTATTAGAATGTTTTAGACACTACCTACAAATCAGACGAAAACTCACTATGACGATCATAACTTGGCTACAAAAACCCATGGAGACAAAACCTTTTACGCTTGTTTTGGTCTCGTTGAGCTCTACCTGTGGGTCTAATACGAGCTCAAGTGGCAGCTGTCATTTGAAGTGGCTCCCTCGTAAGCTTATCAAAGACTTAGAAAAGTGAAATGAGTATCTGTAAAACCTGCAGAAACTCACGAACACTCATGGTTACTATAGTTTTTTATTATAAAGATATTTTATTCATTGATATCAAGATAACAATCATTATCTTTTACAATTAAAACTCGGGTAACTATGAACGTCCTGGGTGATCAGCAGTTTTTATGAGTATCCAAATGAAATGGTTATATCATATCTTCTATCTAATTTTCTATAAACAGGAGACGATAAGTTTTGACATGTTTTATATAATAAATGTTGTTGTAAACTTTTTTTCTAGAGAAAAAATGCATTAAAATGCGCTCTTGTTAATGACTACAAATTGATGCCTTCAGCTCGTTTAATAAGAAAGTTATGAGTTCAGAAATGCCATTCATGTATAAAAAGGAAATTAACCATTAATATGGTAATTATTGAAAATGAAATGGTGAACTAACTGTAACTCAACCAATCAATTCACATTTCGAAATCACATTGGAATTGTTTTATGATGAATTGAATATCTAATACGTTAAATGGATATTATCATTGTCGTGCACAGTGTTTTATCCAGATTTTCTCTTTCGGAGAGACAATCTCAAACTGCGGAAGAGCGAAACCAATTTCCGGAGGTGTGTCACATCCCTCAACTCTCACACTGTATATAATACTGGTTGTGTAATTATTCTGTCTTTTGAAAGTAAAATACCCCATGTCAATAATAAGTGGTACAGTTGAAAATCACTTTTCTTTGTTTTTGTTTTTAACTTTTTTAAATGCATTAACTTTTTAAATATTATTCGTAAACCGTTCTGTTCTAAGAGTTCATAGTGTGCCACATTCTAATCGATCTTATTTTTAGTATTGAACTTATTTTCACTCCTAATGATTCTCGATACAGAAGAGAAAAATTTTCATAAGAGTATCATCCATCAACAATGTTAATTATTTCCTCTAGGTAAGACTCTCTTTCGTTTCAAAGACAAAATTACTATATAATAACAATTATATCGAATTAATATATTAGAAATCTTATCCATGATACAACAATTTTAATGTGAATTTGAAATGCGTGTTGGTGTTTGAATTAAATTAACTCACTCTATCATCTTTAATCATTAGAATATTAACGACTAATTTACTTTTAAATATAAGAGGCACTTCTAGATTAATAACTTTCTTACTAAATGAGCTTAACGAGTCCATTTATAGTTATTTTGAAGAGCGTGTTTTATTCTACTTCTTCTTTATCAAGACAATTCTACAACAAGATTTATTATACGATACGTGTCAAGACTTCTGGTTCATCCTCTTTATATCTTGTATAAAACAAAAAATTTGTCTTCAACTAAATCTTATTTATCAAGAAAACCATTCTTCAGATAGTCGAATTAGTGTTTTATGTTAAAAATTCACATAACTCTTCTTTTTTACATTGTTTGTTTTGGCAATAGTTTTTCCTTAGTTTAGCATGATGTAGACTTCTATTATTTATAATATATTTTGACGTCATGAAATAATCAAATTATGAAAGTCAATTCTTTTGTGTTGAAAAAAATAATCTTTGTCACCTACGGTAATATTATTTGGTTATGATTAATCGAATTAGTTGGTTTTAATCGACTTAATGATCTCTTGTCAATATTAATCATCATTAATTAATCAAGTAAAAGAAAAAAAATATCTTTTCTTACATTTAGCTTCTGGCGCCGGATGTTCTGTAATTGATTAAAGAAAGTAAATAATTGAGAGACAAAAAAAAATCCAAAGAAAGACATTTCAATTCAGACACATACACGCACATTAATTGACAAAACAGAAAGAAAACGACAAGCGAACAAAAAAAAATAATAAATAAATAAATATGAAGAATATTTTTGCTTAAAAATCGTTAAATTCTTTTTCAAATAAATTGATCGATGAACGTTCGGGTTCTTCATCTTCAGCATCAGGAAAATTATTTGCACGAGTATCTGGTGCCCAAGGTGCACGAAGCTTTTTCAAAAATATCTGTAACCAGTCAATATCACGAAACCAAGCATGTTTTTTTATATCATTAACACCATTGAACATCATACCAAGTCGTTTTGTTAAATCTTTTTGTAATAAACCACGTATTATATCAATTAAATGGTCTGTGAACGATGAACGAGGTCGAAATTTCGCATTGATAATTTTATGATATATTTTTTGCTGATCGGAATCCTAAGGAGACACAACAGAAAATTAATTTAAATAAGAAATTCATAAAATCTATACCCAGAATGGAGAATAACCAGCATTCATTTCAAATATCAAAACACCTAATGCCCAGTAGTCAACTAGAAACAAAAAAATTCTAGTTAAATATCAAGAAAACTTGTTGTTTTTATCTCTTATACCTCCCATATTATAACCACGACCAAGAATAATTTCAGGTGCAAGAAATTCAGGTGTGCCACATAATGTATATGCTTTACCGCGATCAATTTTTTTAGCAAAACCTAAAGAATAAAAGAGTTTTAATTTTTAAAGAACAAGATGAAAGATCTAATGTTACCAAAATCACACATTTTTATATAGCCATAACGATCGATGAGCAAGTTTTCCGGCTAAAATAAATAAGAAATTCAAAAGTATTTTGAGAATAATAGACGATTAAAAAAGTTATACTTTGAGATCACGATAAACAATACCCAATAAATGTAGGTATTCAAGAGCGAGAATAATTTGAGATGCATAAAATTTGGCTTTTTTTTCATCAAATCGTTCTGAATCACGTAAATGTCGAAATAATTCTCCACCTTCAATTAATTCAAGACCAATATAAAGATTGGCATTGTCTTTGAACGAAAAATAAAAACGTATTATAAATGGAAAATTTAGTGCTTGTAATATTCGTTTTTCATTAACAACATGTTCTTCTTGTTTCATTTTATGCGCACTTTTTTTATTAATAATTTTAAGGGCAACGCGATAAGATATTCCTGCTGTATCATTAGGAGTCGTTCGTTGAAGATAATCTGGTAATGGATCACGTATACATTTAACTTCTTTAACAGAACCAAAGGCACCACGTCCAAGTGGTCGAATTACTTGAAAATCACGATAGACTAGTTGAAATATAGCTGGTGATAAATATCGATTATCGAATTCTTCACGAGCTTGTTTATAACATTCACTCGGTATACCGCCTGATGAAGACGATGATGAACCACTGGACGATGACGGACCTCCTCCCATTGGTGCATGCGTAAGGAGAACTAAAACAATATATCAAGTTAATAATAGAACAAGTTTTTAGAATGTAAGAAGAACATTTTAGGAGACTTATATTGCATCATATGATGAATTATATCTTATCATGCCATATATTTTGATTAAAGAATGCAACTACTAAGAATATCTTTTGGTAGTTGAGTAAAATGTATAGGTAAGCAAAAACCATCTGCACTGTGACACTATGATATAACTATTTGTATATATAACTTCAAAGAGCAAATAAATATCATATCTAACAATCAACAACCTTGAATAGTCAAATCAGGTATTTAATAATAATGGCAAAATAAAGTTTGTTTTGTTACATTCATAAGCTAAAGTTCTATACATAAGTGTCTAGTTGTTTTTATTCAATCATCAGTTTCCTTAATCATTTCTATACCCACAAAAAGCAAGAGAATGTTTTTTTTTTGTATGTCGTTCTGTTTTGTTTTTGATCACGTACTGTCTTAACTTAGTTTTCTATCTCAAACTGAGATATTTATAACTTTCAACAATATTATAAAACCCATCAATTTATTATTCCATATAAAAATTATGAACATCGAATTTGCATTACACATCAGAGAGAATAAAATGTTTTGACATTTCTATTTTAATACTGAAACAAATAGAACTATTTAATATGATTCTCATCAAAACTAAACATATACTCTTGATACAATAACAAACTTTCGTAAGATTAGTATGATTCTTATTTTTCACTAAACAAAATTTCATTTAGAAAATAAAAGTAAAATAAACATTATGACAGCTATATTAAAATGCCAACATGACACTAACAAAAAAAAAAGAAAAACTTGGTGAGGTTTTTTCTTTTGTTCTTTTTTTTGCTGATTCTTATACCCTCTAATCATAAGAAAGGAAAAACAAATGCTAGACGCTGTTATATTTCTTTTTTAATTTTCTTACCAAACTATTTCCTGCCGCAAAGCTAAGCTATTAAAAAAAATTAAATGTAAAAAAAAAAAAGTGTTTATGCTAATCAGCGTAAAAAGTAACTATATGAATCGATTATACGACTCATTAAAGGAGTGAACAACAAATAAACTTAAATAGATAATAATCTTAAAGCTAATCTAGTTCATTTTGGTTTCTTGAGTTGCAATGACGAAAGACAATAGAGTAGAAGACTGCAAAAAAAAAAAAGAAGTTTGCCTGACTGTCTAGCTTGTCACGCATTTCTCAAACCGACAGTATATATATTTATATGCATTTCTTATCAAAGACTTGCTACATTGCTTCTTATATGATCACTAAGCATAGAAATACAATGAATAGTAGTAACAGCAACAGCCATAGTTCGTGTTTCCTACATCATCTCGTCATCATCATCATCATGATCATGATCATCATCATCTCTCTCTCTCTCTCGAATTACTCGACAAAGCAGTTCTTTTACCACTGCACATCACTCAACCCAAGAAGAAGATTCATGCACGCATACGCTTTTCATTACAATTTAAGTGAACAATATAAGAAACAGTGAACGAAAGAAAGAAAAAGAAAAAAACAGTATGGTTAGTGCCATTGTTGTTGTTTTATGTCCAGAGAGAAAAGAAATCTTTCGTCTAGCTGATCTAAATAATCATTACTTATGAAGAAGAGTGATCATAATGAAACAATAAAACCTCTTTAAAAAAAAATATACATTTGGGAATGTCTCGGCAATGGAGTCTCAATAAAGATGAGTACATCGAAACAATCATGCGTCTCTCCTGTCTTACTTTATTCTTGCTTATAGAAATATTAATCACTTTCTTCGTCTTTTTCTATTTTTGTTCTCTTGTTCATTCATATTTATATATTTGTTTTTCGAGTAATCAATGATGTTGTAAAGAAAATAATTGAAATTAAATTTCATAATCGAGAGACACGAAAAAATATATACAAGTATCTTTATGTATGTATGTATTATAGTATGATGTATTATTAGTTGCTTTGTTATATATTGACAACCTTCGATCAAAGTAAGGAAGAAAAAAAAAACAGTGAAAACGAATCTCCTTTTTTTTTTCTTCATCTACTTTTTATATGAAGACTTTCTTTTAATTATATCGTGTAAATCATTATTCCTTGAATGGCTTCTTTATTCTATTGTTCTTCATTTCTTTATACCCACATATACACAAAGGGAAAAAAACGCATTGTTTAGAACAAAATGCAACCAGTATTCATTCATCTTGTCCTTGTTCATATTTGAATATTATTTTGAAAGCTATTGGATTTCTAATTATTCGAGTTAATGATAGACAAAACAACAAGCATTGTCTTTTTTTTTTTGTTTTATATCAAGGGCATAAAATAAGTTGTAGTTTCCTCGAGTAATATTATTGTTTCGCACGAATGCATATTTTTCTTGGTTAATATTCATAGTTTATATACTCTAAACACTTCAATCTATTATATGTGTAGACTTTTCATCTTTCTGTATATTATTGTTAATGAACTATGACTAATGTGAAAATTAGAAAAATTTTTTCAATTAATTTTGGAATTATTTGTGATAGAAAAAATTGTACACGTTCAATGACTGAATCGTTATAAGTGACTTTATTTTTCGTAAATCACTCATGCATATCTGTCATTAGTGCACGGAGTTATAAATAGAAAAAAAAAGTTCGATGTTTTTTTTTTCTGTGCTAATAATAATGCAAAAGAAAGATCAATGTGTACGAATGAATCGAATGATTGTTGTAGTGATTGAGTGACTTCATGAATAAATTGCTATTGTTATGAATTAAGTTACAATTCTTCTTGTTTTGCTTTTTTAACCAAATAAAACTTATCCACTAAGAAATTAGAATGTTGTAAATCATATCAAAATGTCTATACTGATAAACGGTTAAAAGCTTTGCAAGATAAGCAAAAATTTTGATTGATTATAGTCAATGATAGATTATGGTTGAAAACAAATATCTCAGAACATTGTTATATGAGTTTTCATTATTTATTTTCTATAAGCAATTTGATTTAGAAATGATTTCTTGAAGCAATATCTTTTTTTTATGTAACGTTAAGAATAAAACATCACGAAATATTGCTAAAAGTAATATAAAATTTTCTATGACATTGACACTACTTGTATCTCTGTAATAAAACAAACGCTGAAAGCTAAAATTCTATCTTAGACTTTATCTAGATGTCAAGTACATGTACGATGAATATCATGCATTAATAATATGGACTCATGTGGGAATACAATATTACTGGAAAGAATCAAAACTTATTTTACTATCCTTATGCTCTATGTGTGTGCCAACATGAGATAGGCAAGGAAACAAGAGAGAATAGCAAACGAGCCAATGGTACTTGACGCACACTAAGTGGCTGACTTCCTGTATGCCGCCCGGCGTAAACCCATACACACACACACACATATATAGGCATATATATATATATATTGATATATGTTCATTAACTTACAGGGAGTGCGATTGAGTTTGAGTAAACGTTGATAGCGTTCATCAAGTTGACGATTGATTGTCTGATAATTATGAAAACGGTAGTTATTTGCCATGATATATTGGACTGAGAGCAACAAAATACTATCTGTCGAGAATGTTTATCAAAATATGTGATTTTTAATGTGTGTGCATATGTGTTGGCATTCATTTCTTTTAAAAATGTAACTTGTTCTATGCTTAGTCATTAATGGAATTTACCATTATTCATCGAATTTTGTTGTCTATTATGCTATCGAACTCGACTAATGAGAGACATTCTGATGATGACTACGTGACGACATATACATATAGGCAGAGAAGAGTGTGCAGGGGAAAAAACAAAAATATTCTTCATTGAAATATGGCATCTATAAATCGATGTGTGCACTGAGTTACAAGTGGCTTCTAGAATATCTATTAATGAAAAGCCACCTATTCATCTTATTCAAATTTGATGCATACATACAAACAATAGAGAAAAAAAAGCAAATGACATTCTTTCATATTATTATTACATGATGTAAATATATTATAATTTTTTACCTTTAAATGGCGAATCTTTGAGATCGTCTATAATAACTTGAATAGGTGGGGCTCCTTGTGTTTGGTGATGTTCACGTTTAAATGATCCATGTGTTGATACAAGATGTCCTTTTACTCGTTGTAAAATTGATTCATGTTGTGATTCTTCATTTGCATCTGGTGTTGTGTCTTCTTTATTCGAACGATTATCATTTGTTTCATTACCATTTGATTTGGATTCTTTAGTTTTACTACCTAATTTCGATACAATTTTATCGAATTTTTTTGCTAAACTATTACTCATTGTAGACAATTATGCAATAAGATATTCGCTTTATATTTTTACTATTAATAATAGACGAATGCAAATAAAATAAGTAATGTTGTTTAACTACCACCTATACATATGTAAGATTGTTTTGAGTAATCGTATCTTTCCGTCAATCTGTCATAAATAATGAAATACTAATAAAAACAAATGCATAGAAAAATAAAAATAAAAACAAGCACGAAATGAATAGGTGTGAATCAGACCAATGCTTTAGTGACACAGCAGTGATCGTGATAATGGTTATGAGCGCAAGATAAAAAGAGTGATAGGAAAATGAGCATAGAAGAAAACAGACAGGCAAAAAAGAAACATCTTTCTCTATATTCCCTGGGGCTACTAAGCAGCTTTTAGTCTTTCTTCTTTTTCTCATCTACGTTGTTAATGCCTGGCTATATCCTTTTTTATCGCCAAGAGGCCAGTAAGCCATCCATTTACCACTATCGCTTCATCAGTCGTTCATCTATCATCGTTGGGCAATAGGAAACGCATATATGTGAATTTTAACTTAATAACAATAAGACGAATGACATCGGCGATGACAATGCCCGAGTGCTCACATTATGACGACATGCTGTTAAGAGAGTTTTTTTTTAGCTTTAGAACAAATATTTTTCTTATTATGAATTCTAAATCTACATTCTATAATATTTAAGAAACAATCTATTGTTTTTTTATAATGTTTTCCGAAGATTAAGAAGATTTTGTGTTGATTTTATGTTGATTAAAAATAGAATATTAATATTTGTTCTAAAAATTTTTAGTATAATCTATTTTTTTATATGATGAAAACGAATTAATAAACCTTTTCTTTGTTATAAGATATAAAGTCATTCGAAAAGAAAAAACAATTATGAAAAATCTTATATGTTCTATTATTCCTTTATTCTGCTTCTTTTTTTTTTGTTCTTTCTTATTTTTTTTTCTCCTTCCGGTTTCTATCAATTTATAAATAGTAGTGACATAGTAGCAAACAAGCACAACTGTAATGATAAATAAAGGTAGTATTAGGTCTATATGATATCAATTATATGGTTTTTACTGTCACAACCTATGATAAGAAAATAATATCGCTTTAAACACAAAACTTGTCTAATAGAAAAATGCTATTTTAGGCACCTATAATAGATCATCATTTTCTATTAGGAATTTTTTTATTTCTTCTATTTTAATTGCATGCTATAATACTCGAGAGAATTTTTCGATTTATTTTTATTCTTAAATGAATGGTTTCATAATTAATCATATATATTGATTCACATGCAAATAATAGCACAAAATGATTACAGTTGATAATAGATCGACACATTCATTTATTGTTATAGTTTTTAACAGGAATAAAAAAAAACTACAAGCAATGTAGAAACACATACTCGCTGCTTTTTTTTGCTTGAATACGTTTACTATAACTTGTTGAATATAACAATGGCACAGTACTGGTTAACGCACACATACACACAAGAGATAATGTTAATTATATTTTTTTTCATGCTTCTATTTATCGTACTCATTCATAGTAGCAATAGACAACAAGCAAGACATGACATTTGGAAACAAGCTGTGTGGTGAATATGACGTCAAACCTGTGTTGTTCTCGTCTCCGTTTCATGTTTTTTTCTCTCTCTGTCTTTCTTTTGACATATTCAGTTAAAATCCATTATCAAAACTTATTTGTTCAATTCATTCATTCTTGTTTGACTTTTAACAATGACAGATGAAAAATATATGCGCAAAAAAAAAAAGAAAAGAATAAAACGGAAAACGACTGGCTTCTTCGTTTGACAGAAATAATTTCTTCAAAATTTAATAAAAATCTAATTTCCGTTTATCTTTCAATAGTTCTTGTCGGAAACTGCGATCTATCATGTTCTCATAGGAACAATAAAAAAAAAACACGAAACGTTTAATAATATATCAAAACTACACATGTCAAAAAGGAACCAACAAAACATGACCTAAAGTTCTTATTTTCTTTTTCTTTTTTTTTTTTTAAATAATGTTCGATATATGCACAGAAGCATAAATTTTGATCTTGGGCAATAACAAAAAAAAAACACAAGTTGGCACACTCAGATAGACAAAAAATGTAACGAAACACTGGAGAAAGCATATACGATTGAAAAACAGAACAAAAAAAAAATTGACAAAAAAAAAAAAACTTTTTTTTTAATATAATACATTGGAAAAAGTCGTCAAGAATGATGACGATTTCACTTTTATCACAAGAAAAAAAACAAAAAAAAAAAGAAAAGAAACTTGAACAAATCGTATAATCAGTGAAATGAAGAATGAAAAAAAAAAAATCACAGATCTATGGAAAATTTTGTTTTATTATCAATCAAGCAAGCAAAGAACTGAGTGGTAATAGTAGTAGTTATAATATATCTAAGTCGCGTGCTTTATTGAAATTATCAAGATGAAAAATGTTAGAAAAGAAGAAGTCAAATATCTCATGCAAGAGTTACAAAAAATGAACATTACAGTTATTTATTAATTTTCTCTTATTTTGTTAGACAAAACAAAGAGAAAAACTAACCTTGTTGTTTTTTTTGTTGTTGTGTTGTTTGGTGTTACTTTTTTTTTAGTTATTAAGAAGATAGAAGTCAATAACAAAGAAATTTAAGTTCGATTCAAACGAGGTGGTTGGATTGTGTAAGGTTGATAACGGGCAGAGATAGAAGAGGCTGCTGCTCCTGATGTGATGTTTCCTGTAGCATTGTTGGTTGTTGTTCTAGTAGCTACACCTGCACGGTAAAGAAGAGAAAAGAGCAGACAAAAGCAGTGAGATATTATATATATATATATTATAAATATATACATCAAATTTAAAGAAATCAGTTTATGTTTGTCAGTCAGTTCTACAGCGTTTACAAACAGAAGAAATCATATAAAAAAAACCTAATGCTCAAAAACAAAATAAGAGATAATAAGCGTATATTGCCACATGCCTTTTTTCTTCATTCATCACTGAATCAATGACATCAATGAGCCTAGAAGGAGAGATAATTGCATTCTATAGAGCTGCACTCACCCATAGCTAAACTGACTATCTATCTAAAGAAGCACGCCACCTGCTGTTATTGCCATAAGAAAATTATATTCTGATAAACTACACTAACTTAGTTGTTTTTTTTTAAGTATTGATTTAGTTAGAGAGTGCATTTAAGTGTTTTGTTTCAAAAAAAAAGCAAGACTGTGTATGTGGTATGTGTTTGTTGATTTGTTTTTTTTTTTTTTTTTAATTATTGTTTTTCGATTTGTTTGGTTGTTTTTTTGTCATGGTGAGATATAAAGAGAGATCATGCGTTAAAGCAAAGTTTAGAAAAAGTAAAAAAGAAAGAAAGAAAAGAAAAAGACAGATAGTATGGAAAGGATTATCATTCTAGCTTTTGACATGATTAGGAATTTTTTGATACATAGACTGATTGTGTGGATGATGATGTTGTTGAAAATTCTGAAGATGCTGCTGCTGATGCTGATGATAATGATGCCTGTCATGGCGATAACAGCAAGTGCGTGATGTCGGCCGAAAAGCGGACGACAAGAGGTATAATGAGTTAAATTTGATACCTGCTGGTGTTGTTGCTGTAGGAGCGGTGAAAAATGGAAAAGCTACAAAGAGCAAAAATAATAATAAATTTCTATGAAAATCTAAAATAAAAAAAACAAACAAACTATTTACCTGGATGACTTGGATCAATATGTGTTGGGTATTCGAATAAATGTGCACCACCTGCAATCATTCCACCCATTTGATCAAGTGTTTGTAATGGTGCAAATACTTGAACAAAATTTTGCTCACCATTTGCTGATGTTGTTTGAATAAGTGAAGCTTGTGGAACAGCTGTTAATGTTGGTTGTGTTTGAGCAGTAGTTGTTGTAGCAAACATAGCTGGTCCTCCACCCGATTGAATTTGTGCTGTTAAAAGATTTTGTTGCATACGTGGTGTTAAAATTAATGGTGCACCTATTGGCATTCGATTATTTGGAAATTGTAATTGTTGTAATTTTTTTTGAAATAAATTTGGTTCACGATATGTACCATTAATAATAGCTAATTCCATTAATTGTTTCTTTTTTAAATCATCTTCACCTTCAGCCTAAATGTTTGTTTTTGTCAAATAGATTTTATTTTATAATAACGAATGATCGAAATATCTTTTAGATAGGATGTTTTTTTTTTTACTGTTGACATATTTCCAACGAGTCAAAAGCAATGATTTTGTGTTCGTTTCCAATAAAAGGTGTCCCATCAAGTTCTGAGCCTCAATGAAAATAAATTTATATATAGACCAAGAATAATCCCTACGTAACTATATCTATATGAGCTTCGAATAATGAGGACGATATTTTGAATGACATATTATTCGATGACGTTATCCTCTTTTGATAATAATAATATAAACAGAAAAAACGTAATAATTAGAATCTCAAAATTGATCAGTATTAATTTTCAAAAAGTTTTAATACATTATGAATTCATCACATGTAACACAATTATACAAAGCGATACGTAATATCTAGCGTGTAGGTATGTCGATCCTCTGTAACTATATACACATCCAAACCGTAATTATCACGTTGCTTCTGTTTATATCACTATTATTAGAACAGATAATGCCATCGGATAATATGCCATTTAAAACATCGTAGTAAGTAATTGAAACTCATATAAATATAGTTTGGTACGGATCATTCTTTGTTTACATACGAACTAATTTTCATTATGATCCAGTACTTACAGGACATTTTTCATGGATTTAGCAATTTTGTTTCAGCTTTTATTCGAGAGTACTGAAATCATCTTTGAAAATTCAAAGAAAATTAGTTTCAACGGAAAATTTTTGCATTGTTACTATTACGATTCGAAACTAAAAGTTGGGTACTTTGTTTAAATATTAACTTGTAGATCAGAACTTACCCTACAAAATGCACTATTCCAAGTCCTTTTTTGTTTTTTTTACAAGGAACTTCAATTTTAGTTTTCCTGAAATAATCATTGTTGAAAAATCAACAACCGTTTTACGTTGAAAGGAACTCTTGAAAAATGCTTGACTAAAACCTACAGTTTGGTTTCGTATCACATTTTATAGAGAACTATCCACTGTACAAAATGATCGATTCCGACGAGTTTTCGCATGTTGGAAAAGGGACTTATAGGACAAACAAAAACCTGTTGTCTCACCATTTTCAGGTCTTTCAAAAAAATTTCTCAATACTCTTGAACAAAATATATACAACATTTCTCAGTCCATATTCAAATTCTGGTTGTGACCTATGGTTTTTGGTTCGTCTGAAATGCTTTCAAGTAGATCAAAATGAGCAATCATGTTCATCGAAAACGTAGGCCCATCAGCTCTACAGGGATGGGCAAGTCCGAGTCAAAACTCGGATTCGAGTCGCATTTTTTTCATGACTCTGACTCGAAGATTGGGAGACGTTGACTCGACTGTTTGACTCGAGTCTTTCACTCAAAAAAGTTTTCCTTTACTCTCACAACAAAAAAATACAAATTTATAAAATTAAATTATCATTTATTTCATAACTTTCGTTCTAATTGAATATATTGCATAAAAATAATTTTTCAAGAGCTTTTTCCTACCTATGTATTCATATGGTCGTTAATAATAGTCCTGCTAAATAGAATCATATGTGCTTCTGCTATATCAGCACTAGTTGAACGTGTGTTTTCTCAAAGTGGTCTTTTCATGAGATCACAGCGTTCAAATTTTTTATCAAGTAGAATTTGTATTTTTACATATCCAGGCTGAGTGATTCAACTGACGGATATCATCGAATTCTATCGAGAAAACCATAGAATTTTGTCGGATCCGAGAGGAATCCGTTGGAAGTTGTCGGATGACCGCGATTGCTGTCGGAACACCTGCATTCCGATAGTTTCCGATATCCGACAATTTCCCATAACTTTCAACAGGATCCCGTCGATCAGCGTCGACCTGAGTATCTTTGAAATGCAATAAGGCAATAATTTAAATGTTAATAAATATTTCTTGCTTGTAAACAGCTTCCAGTTTAGATTTTTGTTATGAAAAATGACAATTTTCTTACTGTGATATAGAACTGTATAAAAGAGAAGAATTGATTTTACTATTCTTATTTTGTTGATAAATCTAGAGTACTTGTGTCGTTTTATTTTATGCGTGACTGTTCTTATTTTTCGCGAATAAAAACTAGGAAGTAGATATCGTTTAATGAAAAACTAGTTGTCAACGTTTTTTTATGGAAATTAACAGAAAACGTAAAAATGGCGAAAATAAATTGACTCGGACTCAACTTGACTCGAAAAACGGCTTGACTCGTCCATCCCTGCAGCTCTGTGCATACTAATTTTTCTAACGAGGGAATTATTCCAAGTGATGCCCGCCGTTTGAGTTGATATTGAGTTCACAGACAAGAATCAGCGAAAATAGAAAAACCTAAAAAAGTTGATCCTCGTGGACTTTCGCACCGAATTATTATTGTTTTACTGGGTTTACTATCCATTCTTATGTAGTCTTCGAAAGACCGAATAACATAGTTTTTATCCAAAAATTTGCCTATAGATAGGTCTAATGACTCTTCGAATATCAATATCTTGACCAATAAATGCTATAAAAATCATTAGACCTATATATAGGCAAAACTTGAAATCAAAACTCAGTTATTCGGTTTCCCTGGAACACCTAAAAATGAGTCAAAAAATCCAGTAAACCGACCATAACTCGACGGTAACAGTCCATGAGGGCGATTCCTATTAAAATTTTACTGGTCTCGCTGAGACTTGTCTATGGATCCAATATGAGATCAAACTTTGAGTATTGTTTGGGATAGTTTTCACATAACCTCGCCCATATTAGAGAAGAGCACAAAACTCTGAACCTAACTCGTAGTTTTTTTACTTGTTGGAACTACGGCAAAAGTGAACAATAATCTCATCTAAAAACTTTCCGATCCCCCGTTATATATATATTTCTCTTCAAATAAGAATACATACGGCTGGTTTTAATAATTTCATAATTTCTTCTTTAGCACGTTCTAATTTAACTAGTGCACGGTTTTCATGATCTTCACATTGTATTAATACATGAAGATCTTCATCTAAATGTTCCCAATTAGCTTTACCACGATTTTGATCTTCCTAAAATAATTTAAAATTAAAAAAAAAATAAAAATAATAATTTATTTTATTTTATTTTATTCATTACTTTTTGTTTATCTCTCATTGATCCTCGACCACGAACCATTATTTTACAACCTGTATCCGCTTCAAGTTGTTTTGCAGTCATTCCTCGTGGACCCAATATACGGCCAACGAAATTGAACTAAAAAACAAAGAAAAACAAAATAAAATCATTAAAATACGAGATTATTTGTTATTTTTAAAAAATTAAAACACGATCGAGTAGTGATATGAACACAAATTGGGTTGGAAATTAAATCAATATATATGTATATATATGTATAGATAAATGTATAGTAATTTGATTAGATAATTTTTTTTTTTGGTTTTGTTCGACATGCGACACGCACAAACGAACGATGGACGAGATATAGGTTATTAATATGAAAAAAAAACAACAACGAAATGATATGGATTGAGCCAAAAAACATGCAAGACAGAATATGATTATATTAACAAAAAAAAATTACCGATCACACCCACGATGATCAACAGAAACTAGAAAAATAATTAAAAGTTGTTGTTGAAAAAGTTCTAGACAAAAGTTTAAAAAATAATTCAGGCATGAAAATTTATTGGATAAAGTTATTTTTTTTTATAATATTAGAGCGAAATTTTAAATATGCGCGAAATCCATGGAATAATTAGTTTGTTTATTTGTGAATCAATGAGTCGATTCAAGTGTTTTTGTTTTGTTTAACTGTGCATAAATAAGCATATCAAAAGGAGATAGCCAGATAAAGAAATAGACAAAAGGATGTGCTCGTGAATTTTAGACAAAAATATATGTGTTGTTGCTTTTGTTTTTTATTTATATTTTTGTTTTAATGGAAAGAGCAAGAAACTGTTTGGCCCAAATATTATCTTATTTACCGTATGAATATCGACGAACTAGTCAATCTAGAGTATAAAAATTTTCAAACTCGAACGGATCAAAATATTCAACAAAAAAATGTAAATTATGAAAATTGATATAGCATATCCTAGTTCTGAATGATATCACTATTGCATACTATTTAAATAAGTGATTCATACATTTGTTATTATTTGCTGATAAAAAAAAAAATAGGAACAAAGAGATGGATATTATATCATGACTATTAGACTAGTAAGCATTATTTAATCGAAACTTACTTCAGGATGTTGTTGCACCGGAATAAATACTTTTTCTTGAAAAACTTTCTTTTCTCCATTTGGTTCAGGTAATTCCATTTTCGGACGCGTACTCAAATTAAATAAATTTACTCGAACTTTATTAATTTCTAAAAATATTTTATTCAATTAAATACAATCTATAAATAAATATACAAACCTTGATCAAGTAATCGTTCAATATGCATAAACATATTTGGCACTGCAGCTAATTGTCTTTTATCTTTTAATAATTGTGATAAATATTCTGGATTATCTGTTAATGATGGATCCGTTTGAGTCGATGGTGGCGATGCTCTATGACAAAAAAACATTTATTTATAATAATAAATTCTATTTTTAACTTACGATGTTAATGGAGATAACATTGGTGATGTTGATGGTGGAGCTGGTTGGCCAGTCTGATGAATGGTTAATAATTGTGTAGGTGCTGGAGGCATTAACATAGTTGATTATTATATCGTCAATTAGATTTTATATTTTTTGTTAGTTTATATGTGTACCATGCACGTTATAAAATGTTGTTCGCTCACACGGATGACTGAATGAGAACGAGGCAGGTAACGACAACGAATGAAAGAAGCTAATAGAAGTAAAGAAATCACGTCTAATGCGTGTACTACGAACAGAACAAGCGAATTGTTTCGTTGATAGCTGTTGTTGTTGACGTTGTTGATGATGTTGTTGTTGTTTATAGAACAAGAAACGAGTAACAGAAAGCTAACGAAATGATGAGAAAAAGAGTAAAAGAATGACTGAGCAATGGTGACACATTGTACGACGAATTTTATTATGTTGATCTCTAATCTGTCTTCCGTTCGTTCGTCGCGATACAAACCAAACGTGGGCAATAGAGTGATACGTCTTTCTCTTTCTTTCCCTTTCTTTCTCTTTCCCTCTCTTTCCCTCATTCTTCAGTCACACCATGTCCTTCTTTTGTCAAATACGATCGTCGTCGCTTGCTTCGCTCATATGTACAGCCACCAAGACGACGACGACGATGATGAAAACTACAATCTTTTTCGTTAATTTTTTTTTTCGTTTCTGCACATAGATGTATATATATATATATATATTTATATGTTCGATTCATTCGTTCACCCTCAGGTGAAAGAAAAAAAAGGAGAAAAAGGGTCGCACCTTTGCCACTATGGCAATTAAATTCATGTATATTCTTTGCAACTCTCTTCTATTCTTCGCTTCAGTAATTTTCTCTCTGTCTCTTTTCACTAAATAACTCAGACATATACCACTATATGCAAGGGAGATTTGAAAAGAAAATATTTACAATCGAAAAAAAAAATTCTTCGGCTTCTCTCTTTCTTTTTCTCTGTTCGTTCGTGAATCATATGGTCTTCCTTTCTTTCTTTATTCACTATAATTTTATTCTTACCTTATGTCAACGGAAGAAAGTTTCGAAAGAAGTTTTAATCGAAACAGAACAAAATATTTCAACGACTCTTAATATCAGTAAAAATAACAAAAATGCTGAATTTATTAAAAAATCTCGTACTTATTCTTCATCTTCTGTTTGATTGAATAGGAGAGACTCATGGATAAACTTATTTATCTGTACTCAAATTTCATAACAAATAAAATGAAATATAAAAATGGTTTGAGCATTTTTGAAATAATCTTTTACTGTATAATGACATACAATAACAGTGTGAGAGGAGTAAGTAAACAAATCGATGAATATGCAAAAAAAAACAGTTGATCATGTGAATTCAGTAACAAAAACTCAATGGGTGGTGGCAGTTCATCGTTAAAGAAATCTAATCATGATTTACCGTCTCCAATACATGTTGAAGAAGGTGGGCAATAACACATTGAATGAATAAAATAATTCTTTCATTTTAAACTCTAAAGAAAAAAAGTTTAATTAAACGCTTATTTAACAATAACTAGTAACATATACCTGTTTTATATCTATATCGCAATCACACGATCAATAAATTAATTAATAATAAAAAAAATACTAATTAAACTATAAATTTTATATTTCCTATTTGAAGTATATAATTATTTTATAGAAAAAAAAATGAATAGACAACTTAGCTTAGAAAATTTCAGTATGTTATTTTGATCGTCTATATTTTAGAAAAGATTACTGAAAAATCTATTCATCAAGATTCTCAAGAAAATCCCGATGAATTTCGTTTAAATCAACTAACTCAACCAATCTATATTTCCCATGTAAAAACGGGTAATACATTATGTTCAAATGATCATATATTACTACTTCAAGATGGTTCAACAACAATAGAATTTCGTACACCTCCAAAATTTCAACCAACACATATTTCATGGCATAATGGATTAATTCGAGATACTACTTGGTGTTCTGATCTTAATGTATTTATTGTTTTAACGAAAGATGCCTTGTTTAGTGTCTCACCAATATCGTTATTTACTATTGAAACAGCAACAAATAAACCTCTAGTAGATTTAAAAATCAGTGCATACAAAACAGTAAAACCGTATAATGATAATGTTTCATTTTGGCGATGTACGTGTGCTGGTGAAACGTTATATATTAATTATTCGGGTATGTGAATCAAATAAATACTCAAAAATTGTTAATATAGATTTATCTTTGAATAGTTCATTTTCAAGAACTATTACTTATCTCAGAATACTTGTTGATACTATATATTCTATCAGTATTTTTCTTCTGATAGATTACAAAAAGTATCGTATTTTTCTTTGGAATATTTTGATCAAATTGCAATGAATATATTAAAATTTAGATTTTTCCTTCTTGAAAAATCTTAAATATTTAATAAAAAACGAATTTGACTTTTTTTGTTTTTGTTGTTAAACAGGATTTGGTACAGTCATCGATGAGTATTCATTAACAGCATCTTCATGTAAACATATAAATCGTTGGACACCACCAAAAACATGTGCTACATACGAAGGTATTTGGTGTATTCGTTATCAACAAGAAACAGATCAATTAGGTTTTTCCATAATGAATTCAAGAAATAATCAATGGCATTTAGAAATTCGTAATCGAAAAGAATTTGCACTTTTATGGCAAATAGTATTACCTTTAGGAAATGGTGATTGTGAATTATCTACATTACCAAATAGAGAATGGCTTGCTGTGAACTCATGTGGTATACGTTTAATTCAAATATCTAATCAAAAACTTAAAGCAGGTGTAGAATATCAACGTGAATTAAAAAATGCTGTTGCAATTGGTAATTTATATTTTGCTATTCGAACAAAAAATACTATTGAAATTCATCAAATTAAACAATCAAAGTAATATTGAAATTTCAAATATTTTATTTTTAAATAAAGATCACAAATAAAAATGAAATTGTATAAATTAAGTTGAATTTTTTTCAACTATGTGTTTTGTCTGTATTATATAAATAAAATTTATGAAACTAAGTAAATCAATAATGTATCAATGATTTGTAAAGTATTCGATATCGATGGTACTGGAACCAAGAAAAATTTCTTTATAGAATCAATCAAGTTAATAGGAAAGAATTTCCATATAATATTTAGGTTGGTAAAACTCCAGTCTTACTCTGACCTCAATTACGACTCTAAGACTTTATTACACTCAAATCTTCTATTGCTTGACTAAACGAAACTTATTTTAGTGCTCAGATTGAGACTTTTTACATGTTTGTCTATATATTGCAATGAAGAAAACTGAAAAATCAAAATGACAGTAAAGCCAATTATCTATGTTGTTGTGATTCTAAGTGGAATATTATACTTTGTTCATACATAACGGTATGCAAGATAGACCAAGTCGTAGAACCATGTACTCAAAAGACAAAAAGCATCTGCATGCGAGTATTTGTAGTCTCTTTCGTTATATTAATAAAAATGTTCATGTTCAAAATATGATTTAATGTTAATGCATATTTGATCAGACGAAAAGTACTTGCTATTGAGCATCGTATGAGAACCAATATTTTAAATTATAATTCATAAATGTCATCAAAACGATTTGCTGTATCAATTCTTGAATATTTGACAAAAAAGACAAAAAGTCAAATACTCACTCGCAGAATGAAATACCTTAAAACAGTTTATTACTTGAACTTTGCTCAGTTCTTGATCAAGATAACATGAAAAAAGTTTGTTTAGGCTAATAAATAAACTTCCTTTGATCAGAGAACCTTCTTAATTATGATTCAATAATCGAACTGATACTTAACTCAGAAGTAGACGTCGGTGAGATTTGTAGAAGTCCTTCATAGTTTCGTTTCCATGTATTGTTCTTTTTAAGTTAACACATTTTTACTGGATTATTTATCTCTGGCAAGGTAATTATGAAGCAGTTGCATCAGGAAAAGGAGAGGGTAAATCATATATGAATGGAAAGAGCATGTTGAGAGTAGTGTTTTGGTGCTAGTTTCATGAGCTGTTGATTGAATTTTAAAATTCGAAAGCTATAAATAAACTAACGTATTTTTCGTCATTAACCTAATAATTCATCGTATCACAATGGATTCAATTTGAGAATAAACAGACAATACAAAAATACTACTGAAGTCACGAATTTAGCAGCTTTTTGACAGAGCTTTAATTTTATGTATAAATCACCAATTGGTCATTTAATTTAATAAGCTCAACATGTGATGCACTGATAAACACTATTAACATATTTATTACATTTATAATCCACTCTTATCTTTCGCCGAATTTTTTAATTGTAAAACTTAAACGACCAAAATTTTGGTGTTACTCATTTAATGAATCTTTTGGAGAGTCACAGAAATTATACATTTTCCATAATCAAAAACATCAGAATACTGAACAAATTCCTAAGTACACAATTCTTTGGTCGCAGTTATGTGTTTTTTATAATTAATATTTGCGATATTTCGATCAGGAAAAGTTCAATCTGAGTCAAAACTAATATAATATACGAAATCAACATAGAGAACTCATGAAGAAAGGCCACCAATTGTTCAGTCGCTTTTGCATCCCGACTATATGCATTATGTAGATTGAAATGAACTATGAATACCTTGAAATGAATATGGGTCCTTAGCTTATATCTATGGAGATACTGTATTGTTACAATATTTTTTAAAGAAATGCCCTGGTCGCCTCTCAGGAACATCAGAAAAACTGATTGTTGAATTTCGATTTGAAACTTTACATAGCTACGGGCCTTAAACCTTTCAATCCCGTCATTTTCTTGCGTTCTGCACGAACATGAAAAAAGATAGTTTAATCTCTCTCTCTTGCGTTCAGCTATCACAATCATATGTTTTCGAATTCTAGATTCATTATTCGTATCCATACGAAGTGATTTTCATTTGAACATATCATATGATATTCGTCGTCTAAGAAGACGAAAGAACGCAAAATATTTCCTTTTCGTTCTGCATGTCATCTCGTAGATGCCATGTGGGATTGAAAAGGTTAAAGAGAATAGTTTTTGTGAATGTTTTAGATCTTGTCGCTGTTCCTATCCGCAGATTCAAGTATGGTAATAACGAGTGTTTTACATCACTCAGATTTGATGTTCTCATCTCAGGCTAGAAGTAAATTAAACGAACTGAAATTTTTACAAAAAAAAATATTTTCGTTAAGGCCTGTAGCTGTGTAAACTTTCAAGTCGAAATTCGAAAATTAGTTTTTCTGATGTTCCTTAGAGGATACTACGGCATTTATTTAAAAATACCGCAAAAGTGCATTATCTTCATAGCTAATAGGTTAAGGGTTTGAAATCTTTCATAAAACTTTAAAATGTTCGACATCAATAATACCAAAACCAACAACAGTTTCTTCACAGAGTTAATCAAAACAATACGCAAGAGTTTTCGTATAAAATTATAAGTTTTCCTGACCATCAGCCGTTTTAGATGTTAGATCGGTTGATGTCTATGTTTCACATCTCTCAAAACATTTTAAATCATAATCCTTTTTTTTCATGTAATCAAACAAACCTTGAATGATATTTTTTAAGAAGAATTATACGAAAAGACACACATACACACACAGGTAATAAACAGAGAAAATGAATTAATCGAAATACACACATTGATACAAAAAAAGAAAAAACAATAAACATCTCGTTCATAATAATTACTGTTCGAAATTAAATTCAAATAATATGTTTACAAAGATACCGTTATAGTTTCATATAAATTTCGTAGAATCAATTCAATTGAACAATAGCCAAGAATATTCTTAAAGAAAACATTTTGAATTTCAGGTGATGATACTGAACGTAAACTAGTTAATAGAGATTTTAATTGTTCAAAACGTTGAATTTGAAGTGGATATGTACGACGAACGTGAGTTTCTAATGCTCTTAAATGATCACCAAATAAATTATGTCCATTCATACAATTATTATTATTATTATTATTATTTGGATCAACTAAAATATAAAAAATTAATAGTTTTGAGGATTTAATAAAATCATATCCATTGATTTATTTATCTTAAGAATAACATCTCCTCTTTCGAACTATTTCTGGTTCTCTGCGGAAGTACAGCCGATCGGGCTTACATTTGCATCACAGCCAGATTAACGAAAACGATAGGAATCATGTTTGAGGAAAAAATTTCCAAAGTAGGTCTTCAAAAATTATTGAGCCTGCTTACAAATCCCATCTTATTTTGTTCGATCGGATTGAAATTTTTTCTGTAGATATCTGGAACAATTTCTCAGATGCGTTTTTAAATTTTTTGAAAAACATCAATTTCTTGATTATTAATTTTAAAAACTCGAGGAGCATCAACTAGAAGAACGATTTTTGAGTTAGTGCTTTCTGTATCTTTTTAATTAAAAATCGAGAGATTGATATTTTTTCAAACAGCTTAAAAAACGCATCTGAGATTTTGTCCTTGGTATCTTCAGAAAAAATTTCAGTCCGATTGGCTGTATTTTCGCGAAGAACCAGCAATGTCCGCAAAGAGCAAGACATTCTTTGAAACTTACTCCATCGACAAAGTAATAAAAGTTTCAAATGAAAATATTCAATACAATCCATATTCATGTGTTGAATGCGATTATAAATATCTTGCATTAAATATAAATGTTTTAATTCAATTCCACCAGTATTCAATCCCATAGCATTTGATCGATTAGCTAAAGAAAAATTTTATTTATTCATTTTTTTTTCTATAGAAAAACAAAATTTTACCTGAATGAATTATATTGATCCATGGTACATCAAATTTATATTCACATAAAGTTAAAATAAATAATTCATGCCAACAATGAAGGAGACAAACAATCTTAAAATAAATCAAAGAAAAAACAATATAATTTTTAAAAAACAAATATTAAATTTCAACCTGATCTTTTACATTAATTATTTGAAATTCTTTTATTGAACGTAACCAATGAACTATATAAAATAGAATACGAGCAGCCATTTCATAGACATACAAATCAAGTTTAAATAATGGTGTTGATTGAAATTGACTACCAGACAAAGGTTGTTGAGTTGCCATAGGAACATAAGAAGGCTAAATTTTTTTCATATAAATTTAGATATTAATTCAAACTTATATGAAGATTTTTACCTCTGGTTTCACACCAAATGAACCTGTTATATGCATATGTCGATCTGGAAATGATTGTCGAGGACCTCGTTCATTTTGAACAGCTAATCATTTTTTCAAAAATGCAAATTAATAGAATTAGATGACAAGAAACTATAGTAATCTTACCATCTTTATTCATGCCTGCATCAAGACATCGACCTATATAGATTTAAAAAAGTATTGACTAAATATAAAATAATGACTACGAACGATAACGACAAGCTCGACATTGATTTCGTCGATATTTATCCACAACACATTTATTTCGATTTTTGCAATGATATATACGGTTACGTCGTACTGATCGTTTGAAAAAACCAGCACAACTAAAGTAAACAACATGAATATTATAGTTCAATTAAGATGTTAGCAATTAGAAATTCATGTAAAAATTTTCTTATTTTGGTTGTATAGAGCTCGTCGAATTGTCTACAAAAATGTTGTGTTTAGCATATTCAGTCAATGATTTTGTAGGGAAACTTAAGAAAGTCAGGTCTTAAAAAAATTAGAAAATTTTTGATTTTACTTGTGATATAATTATGAAAAAAAAACTATGCATGTTTTTTGAAGAACTTTGCTTGATTGTTGAGAAAATTGAATTTTTCGATATAAGATTGTGAAAAATACTTCAAAGGCCTATGTAACAATCAGTTATCAAAAATGTAACACAAATAAGTTCTTTTTGAAATATTTATTGCATACCATTAAAGTATGGCATCAGCACCGAGTATAAACCATTCCATGCACTGAGTTAGAGTTTCCTTACTCTGAATTATATATCAATCTATCGAGCTTTTCACTAACTACAAATCGATGCATAATTTGTCAGGAAAAACAGCTGCGAATACACTTTGAATTCAAGGAAATATTGTTCGGATAAGCAAAAAAGTGGCATTTTTAAAAAATTTTCAACTTATTTTTGAGGCAGCTCTAGGGGAGATGCAGAGCTCCAAGTTTGACATAAAATAAAAGACGTCAAAAAAAGTTTCAAATATGTGTAGATCGACGCCACTTTTTATACTAATTCGGAAGATGAGATTTGTGTTGATTGAAAAAATTATTATTACGATAGAAATCACTGAATAATGGTTTTAAAAAATATAGTTATTTTTGCCTGCCCTACCAAAACTTTCTTGACTTTAAACAGGTTAGTCGGTTTTTTCCTGACAAATTTTACATAGCTTTGTAGCTTGTGGAAAGCTTTATCGATTGGTATGAAACTCAGAGCGGATAAATGCTAATTCAACTGCAAAAACAAGATTTTCTATAGATAACTCGACGAGCTTTATCCAACAATAGCAAAAAATATTTTCGCTCAAATTCCGAATAGTCAGTATCTTACAATGAATTGCATCCTAAAAAGTTTATTTCAATCATCAAGAAAAACTTGATTGATTTTTTCTGTAATCTAAAGTTTTCTATGATAAAAAAAAATCCACTTTGACTTGTTAACATAAAATGTCAAGAAAAAAAAAACCTTGTTGCTTAAAACATTCATTTTCATTTTGAATATTGTTAAGTTTTTCTTTTTCTGCCAATCGTAACTCTTAAAACAAGTATGAGCAGTATATTTCAAGAGTTGAGTCAGTCATTGTACGACACACTTCTTGTGAATCTCGATAAGTGCTTACTACTAATGTATGAACAAGACGTGTGTACATATACATCGTTATTTAAAGAAAAAAAAAAAGGAAAAGGTGAGAATGTCTTCAAGCCATTTCGTTTTCTCTCAACATATCGATGTTTAACAACATCATCGTACAAGAACAACATTACTAACCTATTCGAAATAATAAAGAAAAAAAGTAATAGAACACTTATTTCACATACCCATCACATGCATAAACGCTATAATGTTTGCCAGATGAATTATCATGACAAACTGAACATGAAACATTATACAATATCCGACCTATTCATCCGAAAAGAAGATGATAAAATAAAAGATTATTAAAATAAAAATAAAAAAACTAGAAAATTCCAAATACCTGCACTCATAATGCCAAATAAATTCAGAATAATGTTGTATGTAATAGAATGACTTTCGACTAAAAGTTGTATGCTCTTTTTTTTTCTGCTTTCACCTACTATTATATTATACTTCAATAACAACACCAACTTCGATTCGATTTCAAGTGGCAGTATGTTGGATAAAATAACCAATCGGAAAGCGATGCGCAAGCTATGAGAAGGATTCAATCAGGCAAAAAGGTAAATATGAGAAAAAGAGAGAGAGAGAGAGAGAGAGAGAGAAAAAAAAAGAGACTTAACGAATGCTGTTTCGGCGTTCTGTAACGACTCGTGTCATGCAAATTGTTACGATAGGGAAGCAAAGAAAACACAAACAAATTGAAGTTTTCTTTTTTTCGCCTTTGATTTTCGTATGTTACTTATACATCAATAATATTTGATGACTTCATCAATATGACGATCTTCGATTTTTTGATGCATTGATTGGAAAATTAAAATTAACAACAATGTTTCAAATATAAACAATGTTTCAAGATGAATTCTAATAAAATGAAAAAAGAAAAACAAAATTCATTAAAAAAATCTTCTTTTTTTTGTCTTTGAACCGTTGATTTTTAATCATATATTATATATCCGAACTATTTATTAAATTTTTTTTCTCGTTTGAAAAATTTTGTTTTTTATTCTAATTTTAATGAAGAAAAATTTATACATTGATTTGGGTATGAGCTTTTCAAAAAAAAAAAAACAATTGGGTGCTCCTTTGTGATCAAAATCTAATCTTCTTTTAAAATTACTTATCCTATTAAAATTTTATTCTCTACACAGAAAATTAACAAGTATTTCATTGTACTTATAGGTCTGCATTTCCAGGCATTACGACTCAAATCCAAGAACATGTAATAAAGTTTCTTTAATCATCGGTTTTAGTATTCTTCAAATTTCTTGATGAAAAGAGTAGCTTGTGTTAATACAAATCAATTCGTTTCGTATATTTCAAATTCTATATCGACGTTTTAAAGTGAAGAAAACAATTTGCCAATATGCTAATGGTTGTTATACATAAACAAAGTTTGCAAAAAAAAAAAAAAAGAAGAAGTAAGACGCGTGCCGATTCATTGATGACATTTGTAAGACTTTTCTTGTTATATTTAGATTATTTGTACCACGAGTGCCAATCTCAAGAGTATTACTTTTATTCTGTAATCAACACATTTCATGCGATAAAACAAATAAGAAAGAAAGAAAAGAAAGAAGCACAAGTCTATCATTTGTTTAACATGAGCTATGATTGAATGATTGTCTGACACAACAATAATAATAAGAAACAGAGAAGACTAAAAATTTTCAAAATTCAGTTTTTTTTCTCAGACTTATGATGTCAAATAACAACATATTATCTAGGTCATAATGTATAAATGAATAATTAAAATAAAATAATTCGTCTAGCTACTTTTTATTTTTTAAAAGAAATTCAATGTTTCAACGATTATTTTAGTTTTGTTTTTGCCTGAAACTCAGTAGATTTATTCAAACATGATAATATTGTAGATGTGAATGAATCACTTTTGAATTGACAATAGAGTTTATAATTCAATATTCTTTTCACCTAAACATGTTCGTTTGCTTATGTCTTTTTACTCTTTCTTAAATCGATTTCACATAACTAAATGAATTCCCAGATTGAGATATGCATTCGTTTGATATTCAAAGATCGGATAAACGAGAACATAATTCCATATGAAATACTCAAGAACTTTAGAACGACATTATAGAGTCAAATGTTATGACATTGGTATGTAAAACAAAAAACGTATAAACAGACGAGAAACTTTCTTTAATAGCAAGATGACGAAGACAACATAACTGATTCATCAAGACAATTGATAAATCGTAGACATTTTGTCTACATTCAAATTATAAAAGTAAATACTTCCTCAAAATTAAAATTTTTTGTTAATTGAAAAAATTCAATAAGAATAAATGATTGTTTGATTTAATGTTTATATTATTCATTTCATAATATTCAATAGCAATCACTGATAGTTAAAGTCTTGAAGGCATGAAGAAGGAATAATTTGTTATTAGAATAACATTTGATGATGTCTCAGTGTAATTTTTATAATATCTAAGTATGTATTTATTTAAATATATATATTCTAATATTTTCATCAATCAAATTCAATACGAAAATCTAATGCGAAGATTTTTTACTAGTTCATATATTCAATGCCTTTCATTTGATAAGAAACTTTGTTGGTTTTGCTTTCTATATTTATTACAATCTGTTTCAGTAAAATTTCTTTTTCTTGTAATTTTTTTTTCAAGTGCGATTCACATGATGAAATAAGAATTTTTAGACTTAAAAACAGTTGGTAATCAATGATTATCATCCATAGATAGCATATGTGTTATACTGAAATAGAGTTTTCAAATGCTTTTCAATTCAAATCTTGAAACTCTATTGCTTTATGTTCTACTGGTACTTTTTTTTATTAAGAAATATTGAAAATACAAAAACAGCTAGCAATTGAAATAAATTCTAGTAGATACTAATACTAGAAATCAGTGGCAGATTGAGGGCGGAAGTATTTGAGACGATTACCAATTGCATCTGAACTTCTTTTTTTATATTCTCAGTAAAAAACATCCAAAATGAGCTGGTACGACAACTAATGAATTTTATAGCATGTTTTGTGATTATGATCTCTCGCTTCTCTGAAAAATCCCTGACCTGCCATTTCTACAAATGTACAGCATAGATCTATTTCCAGTTCTATTGATACTATGAAACCTTTTTCTACCTAAAGTAGAACAAGATATGATTACCTGCAATTTTGACTAATTATTTCTCTTATTAATAGTCTGTCCTATATCATGATCTATGTTGAAGATCAACGATTATAAGAGAAATAGATAAAGAATTCGATTTAACATTCTCAAAATAATATCTGCTATACAAACTGGAACGTTGATTTGCAAGAAGTAAAACATATCTTGTGCATATGACTAGACTAGACATAATCAGATGGCTTACAATTGTGTCGAGTTCTAATTGATTATCAATCGCCGTCTGCCATATATAGATTTTACTCATTCAATGATACGAGATAGATAATTTTCATAAAAACAAAATACTAAATAAACATCATTTATATCAATGAAAAAAAAAAAAGAAGTTTTTTGTTCTGTTAATTAAATGAAATTCACTTTGTAAATCTGTCATTATCTTTTTTTATACAAGAACTCATATCTTCTGACAGTTATACAGAACAGATTTTTTGTTATATAATGTAGACAATTTGTGTAGAACAAAAAGAAAAAAGAGAAAAGGAAAAAGAAAAAGAAAACTTAACATCTAACAACAACAATATAATGAACAGATGAATGCAAGACGAAAATGAAAAGAGAAAGAAAAAATTATCAAGACTAGACACAAAGAAAAGGAACAAAGAAAAAATTATTTATCAAATATGTTCTAAGCAAATGGAGGTACTACTGGACCGGATTGTTGATGATGTACAACAGATGATGTGTCCGAATTAAAATAATATGAATCAAAAGGTACCGGTGGACGTTCGTAAGATGTTGGAGATAAATAATTTGTTTTAAGATTATTTTCAATACCATTTGTATAATAATGTGTTGGATCAAATGATGATGTTGTTGATTGTTTCATACAATAATTTGTTGTCATTTCATACATATCTGTTGGTACTGCTGTATTATAATCAATTTGTTGTTGAAATGGTTTGGAATAATTTGATGATGATGATGAAAATGCTACAGGCATTGGTGGTGGTTGTGCTTGATAATATCCATGATGTTGTGGATGATGATGATATGAACGAAGAGATAAAGATGAATTCAAATCATCTTTTTCTGTTGTTGATGTAGCCAATGGAGAATTATTTAAACCAATACCACAACCTCCACCATATGGTGTTCGACCTTTGCCATCTTTTTTATCTTTCATTCGACTATTAAGAAAAGAAAACAAGAAAAAAAATAGAAATATAAAGAACAAAAAGAATTTTAACGTACCGATTTTGAAACCATATCTTTAAAACAGAAACAAAGAAAAAAAAATAAAGATATTAACTTTTTTTTTCTAAAAATAAAAATAATAGTTTATTTACCTTAATCTATGAACGACGAATTGGAATTAAAATTACAAAAACAAAAAATTACATAATTAAATTTATTATTTCTTTAATTAAATCAGTAGCGAAGTCAGGGTTTTGCACTAGACAGAGAGAGCTAAGTCATATTTGAAATCGAATCAACCGATCGAGTCAGAAAAAGCTCGCCGACTCTAAGTATGAGCTGAGCCTTCTGGCTTCGCTACTGAATTAAGTCTTAATTATTTTTTATTTTACCTGTCGTTCAGTTAAAGTAAGTGCTTGTGCTAATTCGATTCGTCGTGGACGATTTAAATATTTATTATAAAGAAATTCTTTTTCAAGTTCAACTAATTGAGCACTTGTATAAGCTGTTCGAGCTCGTTTTGATGGTGTTGAATTGCTTTTATCTATGACAAAATAAAAAAAAAGAAAACAACTATCTTAACTATTGATCGACAAAGAAGAAAACCCTTTTCTCTATTTAGAGCAATGACAAGACTCAATGTTCTGTATCCTATTCGCTCGATGAGAAAGCGGCGGTATTGGATGAATAATGATATGGTCATTTATCATCGTCAATAGTAAGAGATGCGAACGGGCGCGCGCGCTCGCGCGAGCGCCTGTCAGTAAACGAAGATGAAAAACATGTATAGGTCGAGACAAACAAGCGGTTAGATTTATTCTCAATGATGAGCAAGCCAAATAACTATTTTCTATAGGTTCTTCTTAATGTCGAGATTGTTTCTTCTTAATTAAATACATGTTCATGGTGAATTCTATTGAGAATTATAATATGGATGACACGCGAACAAAACTAATAACATCACCTGATGTCAATCGAATAAATTGATCAGAATAAATTAAATCATTTTTACGTGTTTGCTATGCGTGTCGAATGAAGGA